TCTGACAAGTCGTCACTAATGATTGAGGCCATAATAATGAGTAGAATAGCGTTCTTTTTCGCGTGTCTCTAGAGTAACTCGGAGGTCAGCTGTGAGGTGACGTCGGGGTTACTAGCTTTTGATTGGCTGTCTGGACGCCGGCAGTATCCGCAGGGGAAAATAAGGGTTTGGGTTGCAGCTGGAGGGTCACGCTGAGACCCTAATCTATACGGATGAGTGACTCTCGCCATAGTGTACGCGACATGTATTATCTAGATCTATGCCAAGACCTATGTCAAGCAAGTCAAGCAAGTCTCAATCTACGGCTTGACTTGATTACTCATAAAAACCTGGCCGACTTGACTTGGTGACTAACCGCATTTGGATCAAGTCAAGCAAGTCAAGCAAGCCGGACTTGCTTGTGGCCGCCTCTGCTGATCCACCCAGAGTCAATGCAACTTGATACTCCAGAAGGCCTCTTGGAACACTGTCCAAGGTAGAAGTAGAAGTCTCGATCATTTTCACCGCCGAATATGACATCAAGAATAGCGATCTGACCGTTGACGGAAGACGAGGCCAGGTGCTGCCAGAGCGTTCGATCCACCTTTCGTGCTGTTAGATAATTGGACAACCTAGAAGCTCGACGTACTCACACTGTTCGCATTCTCTTGCGGGATCCTCAGCAGAGCGCTCTTGAGATCCACGCCCTGGGCTATTAGTCGTTGAATCGTTATGAGCTGGGCGCCGACGATTTGCGTTGACTCGAAAGACTGCTTCAGCTGTAAGCGTCTCCCAACAAGACGAGAGGGTAGATTATAGGAAGAAGGGTAACGGGCGTGGTAAACATACCGCTCCACGGATCGATATTGGGACATTCATTTTCTTCTTCGTTCGATCCGATCTGGATGGTCGCTCCAGTATGACTGTTTCCCCAAGATTGGTAAATCGGTGTATTGCTGACGATTACTGAGAGTTTCTGTTGTATATATAACGTGCGGATGGAAGGGCACCAGTCTCTCGTTCGCGACGCGCGTTGACTCGGATTGGGCAAAGCACGTGCGTCCATGAGGGAGGGGGAGACAGTCGCAACAATTGGAACTATCTGGTACAAACTCCCCTCTACGTGTCGATCATGATTCATGGGTAGGAAATGGCTAGCTCCAAAAGGTATAAATCCCCCCCCAAGTGGAAGAAACACAAGGTCGAGTAATTTTCTCATCATGGCCAACAATCTTGACTTCAGCTCTACTGCATCCCAGGCTCCGAGCCTCGGAGTCTTTGATACGAAATCTCCACGTACGAGTCAATTGCCCTATGCATCAGACTTGACGGAGGTATCATTCCCTGCTCATTGCCATTCTACTCTTCTTTTCCCGCCGAACGGCCAATTTCTCTCTCCAGCAGGCTGGTCAGCTCAACATTTACCTCCGTTCAACACTACTTCGTTCTGGGCTCCAGAGAGAGGACGACCCGTCGGTGCTGAGTGCCCGTCGGGTGAACTGTACCATTCAAGGTCCGACATATCGTACGGCAGTGCCATCTCACCTCATCTTTTTGCGCACGACCAACAGAGTGAAGCGATGAACCCGAGGAAACGGAAACGATCATCTCCGTCCAAAAGCTCGAATATCCGAACCCGTACTAGTCAAGTACGTAAACGGGGTCCCAGCATAACAGAGCTCTTGCTAATACCCAATGCAGGCTTGTACGCACTGTCGAGCGAGGAAAGTAAAATGCAGTGGCACACCATGCACCAGGTGCTCGGAATCCAACCTCGAATGCAAAAGTTCCATTGATGTCGAACACGGAAGGAGATTGCTCAGGAAATTGTCGAATGACTTGCAGGCTATCGGAAAAAGTTTAGGACGCTTGGATGAGTTACTGTTCCTACTCCAAAAGATGTGAACTGAAAGAGCTTTTGGGTGCCTTTACTGCTTTTTGTTCTTCGGGTCCTTGACTTCGATGAGTGTGTCAAAAGGGAACAGGGTCACGACTTTGGCGGAACTCGTTATTATACAAGATTCGCGAGGAGGGAGCGGAGACACCGGGAAGACTTCAATTGTAATGCTTTCAGCAGCTTGAAATTCAGCGCTTCCATCCCTCTGATCAGTATCAATGACCGCCGTGGCTGTTCGTAACATATGCATCACCGTTCCAATTCTGTAGGTTCGATGTCGTGCTTGGACCATTTGAAGTTGTAACTTGATACAACGACAATCTTGAGGGTTGTGTTGGCAGACTCGACAATCACTCTCTTGCTATTATTAGCGCTCTGGCGCTCCGTCGTATTGTCCTTGGGCTCATAGCCTCATCTTGCAGGCCGGGTCAGATGTTCTGGTGCGGAGACTGCAATTGTTCAGCTCGACGCAGAAATCGGTTCGCGGTATTTGCTGTTTCATACCATTGCCCTTGGTTTCACAATTTTCAGGTATGACTGTTGCGTTACGAGCATCGTGTAAGCGAGCGCTCTAACACGTTAGTAATCGCGAGATCAACCTGATCGGCAGGTCTCGCCTCAATACACAGATTCCTTTGGCAGGCATGGTCATGTTTGAGAAATCCATTGGCACCAGGACTTGTTGTTCGAGGTTACGCATCGAACCGGCCGCGATGGATCTCTTGCCGTTCGCTAACCCAAGATCCAGCTTCAGAAGGAGACTGCGACATGTCTGCGATGGATATGTTGAGCCCTTCTGATGTGATCTCGTCACTGGACATCAATTCCATCGATTCCATCTCAAAGTTGTTCGCCGGGAGCAAATCCTCACCCATCGGACTTGCGGCGGCTGTGCTCAGGCGTGTAGCTAGTAATATTCCGTCCATTGATGGCGGCATCGGGGGCTTTGAGGCGCGCCGTGTCTCATGAGAGGTTGAAGTAAAAGCAATCGTTGAGACGTTGCCAGCGTTGTGGCTCCGGTCCGCTGCCGATGTAAACGAGTTGTCATTGATTCGCGACACATCACGGATCAGCGAAGGAGGCGACAATACCCCCGAGATTGGATCGATAGTAAAGAAGATATCGTGTGAAGCCTGCCCGACGGTGTTTGCTGTGTCTGGAGCCATTATTTCTGGTTGAAATGCCCCTGATTCCCGCGGTTCATTAGTCACGAGTATCTTGACCCGAAAGAGCTCTGGCAACGAACTTTGAGCCGTTGTGATGCTGTTGAGATGCATGCGTGCCATTGCAAGGATTGCCATTGCCAGTCTGGTTGGTAATAGCGTCGAGTCGAAAGTGATTGAATATAGTAAATGTGGTAACGTTGCACCGTTGTACAGGATGAAAGTCGGTTTAAATGTCGATCTGAACGATTGTGCCGCAGCGGGATGACTGAAATCTTCCCTCGCATTTTATATTTATAGCAGAGATCATTGAGCGATACTACAGCTGTGCGAAAAGCAGCATGTGCTTCGAATTGACAGCGTCGCGCAGCAAGTTATTTTTGTCATCAACTCGTTGGGCTTTGTGGTCCAATCGATCTTTGTAAAGAATGTCAACAGCGATTAACAGCGGGAGGAGAGCCCAGGTACGACGAGTGTTATGAGTTTGCGCACAGTTCGCACCTGCCTCTGAACGATGAGATGGACTGGAAATTTGGTTCAAATGTACCTTGTCAGAGCTTGTAAACCAAAAGAGGTGTGTTCATCAATGAGAGTCTCCGTCTGTGCGAAGCTCAGGACTTGGTAATGTTGATGCTGTAGGCGAAGGGCGCGGATGACCTATGCACATGCGATCCATCCTCCATGACCGCCCTCGTCGCGTCTCATGCGATCGTGACGCGTTACCTTGACTAAATTTAGTACGGAGGTAACTGTTGCTTTGTAAGCGAAGACCAGTAGTAGGTATCGTGATTCCTGAAAAACAAGCATCATCGTGATAGGGAATATCACTCTAGTTCGCAGAGCTACAGGGGCAATGCCTTGAATCAGAGCCTCCCTGGGTTCGAAGCACTGTGTCGCGGATTGTTCAGTAGGTGGAAGTCACAATCATTCGCATTCCAGAGACGTATTCTCGACGCATTCCCCCGGAGAGACACTACCGAGTGCGAGAAGCTTGTTAATTGGCAATTTCAGCTTGGCAATATTCTCTTCCATATACCCGCTAGCGATGACTTACAGCTAGTTACATAAGTGTGGAACTCGAGGAACATGTAGACAGAAAGCCCAGGAGAGCCGATCAAGTGGAATGCGTGAGATGGTCGGCTACGCTCCACGTCCTCGACTTTGTTGCAGTAGCACGATTTTAAAGAAATCGTTCAACATACTCGAGTATTTTGCTGCCTTTGTAAGAGTGCGTGCAAAGTTGCATCTTCTGGACAACTCAGTGGGATGTCTGGCCATCACTGGGCTCGTCGAAGCGTCGATGCAGCTATACATGCGTCCGGGTCATGCCGTTCGTTTTTGAGCCGTATAAAATGTAGCAATTGACGGTGCCTTCAGCGCGCGGCGGCGACACGTTTGAGATGAGGTTGCAGTCGCCTCTGGACAGTTCCCAGGTCCCAACTACTTTGGGACGCCGAAGGTTGTTTGCCATGCGAGCTTTTTGGCTGCTGCGAGTTCTGTTGCACAAAATCAGTGGTTAAGAGCAGCTTGACCGGCTACAATTCGGATTGGTGTGCCTGACTTGCAATTCGACAGTCTTCTCGATGTGCACATGCCGCCGGGCCCCCTCTTTGAGAGACCATGGATGCAGTCGTAGGCTCCTTCGTTGCCCCCATGGTCTCACCTCGCTTGATAAAAATGTATCCATCGCCCTGCTCTGCAGGACTCTCCGACGCCAGGTCCAAAGCATGAGCGCTAATGCAGCGAATCCACGACGGGTATCGGCTTCGGCCAATTGGGTAGTCGTTGCAAGCCGTGTAACACGCTGCGACGGGAGCAGGGTGAGGCGGTCCTCCGACCGGGACAAGTCTGTTTGTGAGGCTGGCGCCAGTGTTGTTGCAACGGCTCATCTTTGAATCATTAGCTACCCACAGCATGAATGTCGGAGTTGATCCCCCAATTTCGTAGAAAGGGGGTGGCAAGTTGAATCGAACGCCGCCTCCATGGATATGACGTACGATGTGCCGAACATTTGGGGATCAATGCTGGACTCTGGCAGTCGTGCGACTACATCTTCACTGAGGGCGAGCGCTCCATTTGAAGTCATCGGGTCTCGATTTGTTAGCAATATGGAAGAACTCTTTAGCCGAAGTGATTGAGTTCTAGGATCGTACGCCTAGTGGCTCCAAGCAAAGGCGGGAGTGCTGCTCACCGGCACGCATGTACTCGGTACGTGCGAATACTGTGCCCCAGCTGTGCTGTGCGGCGCGCTCAAGCACCGTGTGCCCAGCGTGCCGCATTTGACACCTACAGACCTGCCCAAGGTGGCAGATGTAAACTCCCAGAGCGACCTGCGAAGATCCTCAAGGCCTAGTCTCTACATCAAAATACCCATCATGATAAATGTACATTACATATGTGTTAAATGAGCGAGGGGTGCCGCCGCTGCCGTGGCACGCCTGGGTGAAACGCTACCCGTGCGCAGTGTGCATACATGTACATACATACATACTTACCTCAGATACCTCTATGACCCTGGATATGTAATGACAACGGGAGTGCCACCAAGGCTGCTGTACTGTAGGTACTGTATGTACAGTATGTACCAAATTAGGCACCGAGTAGGCAGGGTGGCACGAAGCCCCAGGCGCATCCACTTGAATATACATCCCTCACGATGGGAAAGCAGATGCTACAGACACCTAGCACGCTCGGCGTACAGCAATTTGTAAACACAAAGCGGTTCGGTCCCTAGACGCGCGAAAGAAGAGACCCAACACCGTGAACTCGTTGCTCGAAACCCACAACTTGAAATTGATACAAAACTTGAACCTCCCGAGGTCTTTTCCAGGATTTCGACTCTTGGCCAGCGGGCTGCATGCACTTCGCCACCAGGAGGACGGTGTGTGGGCGTTTGTGCAAATTTCGGATTCAAGGACTTCCGAGATTGCAAAATCCAAGGCTGCCTAAAATGAAAAAGAGTGTGAGGACAAAAGACTCTGCGGCCAAAAGAGTGCGTCGACCGTGAATCGAACACGGGGCCCATCGATCCTGGTTGTACGAACGCTTCTCTCAGAATGCGATACATGCTTCCCAATTAGGCAATTCGTACGCTGGCAACGATGGATTTTACCTTCGAACCACCACATTGGGCAATTTTGGTGACATGATGCGATTTTGTTCTGGATATATCGCTTCACAAACTACCTCTTCGACAACACTCTCAAAGGGTCGGATTGCTACTTGCGCCTGACATCTTCTTCCCAGAGAGCAAGTAGATTGCTGCATACATTTTCAACAAGAGCCTAGGGGTATCATGTGTTCCGAAACCCGAAACGGCGGGAGATTGACTCTCACCATCGAATCTTTCGAGTGGTGTAAAGGCTCCGTTGCCCATGTGTATTTTAGGGTTCGCGGTTAACGGCAGTCTATCATTACATATTTCCCAGATCCACTCTCATCGATCTCAGCCTCGTCTTGATCGAATCGGACCTCAAATCTTCATCGTTCTGCTGCTTGACCCGAGTAATCTCGCCTTTCTACCGTTCCATCATCGCTGATATACAGTTTTCAAATTACGATTACCACAAATCGTATCTCTACACACACGAGAACGAGGACAACGAAAGAGTTAACGACTTGGGATGAAAAACATGTCATATAATTCCCCCTAGGTTATCCATTTCTCATTCAGTCGTTCTCTTGAAAGAAAGAATCGAGAAATCCGGACCGATTTGCCCTGATCGAGAACCACCTCGACCTGCATAGCAATCTTAATGGACGATGACCAGGAAGGATGCGAGGAGGAAGAGATTCTCAAGTCCTTAGTCTCAGCTCCAAATCCAAACCCATCATACCACCTCTGGATATGACTCTTGTCGCAGGAGAGCAGCGTCTGACAGATTCACTGGGCGGTTTTGGCATAGAGGGAGGGTTGGCGGAATTTCCTCGGCGTTGATGGCGGGGAGGGTTTCTGTGAAGATTTTGATGATGATGATGACGATCATAATGATGGCCCTTCTGACTTCGTCAATATCTCGGAACTACCGTAAGTTTCTCTACATTCAAGTTTGTGATCTCCGAAACGAGCTGGGCCGATGTCTGCCAGTTCATGTTCAGGATGTGCTCTGTGGCACAGTCGACTGCGAATGCGATGCTAACACGCGACTTATGTCCTCGCGAGAAGTCACCACAATCCCGTATCTCGACGGCGCGCAATGCTACCCCAGGCGGTACGAACGACCTCTGAAAACGCGGGGCCGACCAAGTAATCGCGTCACATGAAAACTTAGCCACTCTTAGCGCTGCGATTTGAACGCAATTCCTAGGATTGATCCGCCGAACCGAGCTCCAGGCAGTACGTGAAGTAAGATAAGCTCAAGACGTGTCAAGTTTAGCCCACGAAATCGAGGAATGCCTTTCATTACTTGATCTACGTGGTGCGCGAGAAACACATGTCAACGCTGGTACGTGAGCCTCGCACAGGAAACTCCGCTGACAAGAGACACTATACTCGCGTCGACACGAGCAACACCGCCGGACTCGACAGCGGTCTCGAGGTCAGTACCGCGAAGTCATTTCCGTCCTACCCCAGTGACAAATGTTACAGATCTATTGTCAGTACTGTTGCTGCTCTTCTGAAATTCTAACATTCTTATCTAGTCGCTGTGCGACCGAAAGTCTCATGTAATCCGCAAAAGGCAAATGTATTCATATGATTGACAGTTCTATCGATAGTAGCGAAGATAGATACCGCTGAATGGTACATTTGCGTCATCGGGAACCATTTCAAGCCGGCCAAGTCCCTGACATGACCTTTTAGTTCCAGCAGTACTGTAAATTGAAGATAAGTGTCAGCTTTGCACGACTTCTTTGCGGTCGAAGAAGAGAGTCGAGAACTTACAGCGCCTGGGCCGCCAAGGTCCTTGCAGCATTGTACGAAAGCTCCCGAGTCCAGGCAGTTGGTACCGCTGGCGGAGCACTGGTGGTTGGGTCCTGGGTAGTAAGAGCCGCCAATGCCTGCTGGACCACCGCATTGAAGCTTGCCGCAGCAAGTTTCGGTGGCGTCATTGTACTGGGGTCCAGTACCGCTTGGGTCCTCTAGAACATGTGTTAGATTGAGAAGGGCAAGTGTAGGTCAATGAATGGACAAGGCGTACGGCACTTGCAGTTCTGTCCTGCCATGGCGCTTCTGTTGGCGAAATTAGCTGTGTTCTCTCCAATATAATAAAGTAGCGAAACAATGTCACGTACCCTGCAAGGAGGAGGACCATGCCGCTGAGAATAGTGCTGAAGGAAGGCATTGTGATCAATGAGGCGATGTTTGTAGTTGGTAGAGAATAATTGTTCTTGTAATTGTTCGAGTGTTTGTGCTGCTGATGATTTCTATCTGCTGGGGCGACATGGTCCTCTTATATGCCTTTTTCGACTCACGAACAGCGTCGATAGAGCATTCAAAAATTTCAGCCCAGTTTCAGCTCAGTCACCTCTGCCATCGTATTCACGACATGATCATCACTGCAATCATCTCAGCTGGGAATCCTTCGTTTGTGGACTCAGCCCTGGTAGTGTCGTCGCGGATAATTCTTCCAACCTAGGTAGAGTGTTTGAGACATCAAAAGCCCTAACTTAGGGGTGGTCCGCGTTCTTGACCAATAGTAGGCCTATGTACGTCATTAGGGCTTACTGTCTGTCGGCAAATTCTACGGCTGAAAGCTCGTGGTGAATTTAGCGTTCCTCAATATATTCAGTAGCCTTTTTTGATCGACAGGGTTACCCAAAATGTACAAACACGCCGGCTGAACCATGATTATTGGTCGAGCCTGCTATGGTCGTGTATCATACCCTGATCCTTACAGCATTTGACGCTGATTTCTATTCGACAATCGTACACAAGTCTTAGCTTTGATCCGTCGGCGACATCCTCTGCTATACATGGATTAAAGAGCGTAGCTCCTCACGTTTCGAAGAACGCGGAGATAGACCTCTGAACAGCAAGCTACTCCCAGGTTTCGAAGCACTGTAGAGTGTGAGCGTTAACGGCGAGCTTCCTTAGACAGCAATACAAGATGGGGGTCTTGTGCCCAGAGACAGGCGAATCAAGATTTCGGGCGAAAGGGACAAATCCAGTCTCTAAAGTGCTACACGTGTGCTGGCAAACTTACGAGGCATTGCGAAACTTGGCGCCCGTCATAGTGCCGGGATGAATCCTGGCTTTTACATAATGAGGATGGATAGTCCCACATGGAGCAAACTCCGTGTCCTCTGCCGTCGCTCTGCGACAGACCTGCAGGGCCTTGATGGAAAGCGGTATTGATATTCAGAGCTACTCGGACAGGATGTGAGTAAAGATGTTGATCTGATTTAGTAAATAGCCATCTATGTCGAGTTTGCAACGCAGCAAAGGCCGTCTAATGCGTCATGCTCATCGTATTGCAATTCAAATTAGAAGGTCGTGAAGCAAATGGAGGTAGTGAGTGGTCGATTCGAAAACGTGTTAAATACGCATTGTTCTTTGCGACTAGCCCTATGAGGGAAAAAGTATCTCTGGCCAACCACTAGCAGGCTTGAATAATCTTCTGCACACATGGTGTCGAGAGAGAACTGCTTGTACTTAGCCTGTCATAGCTAGTAGATGTTAGAGGACCAGTCAAAAATAGGAGCATCATCAAAGCGCAGAAGCGGAACGCGCACGTGCGGTGTTCTTTTCCAAACATCTTTAATGCCTTTCGGATAGCCATCAAAGAAGAAACTCATGTAGCACTGCCGCCCAACCAAATAGTATCACCCTTAGAAATGCTTCGTTCTCGCCATTTTTATTTGCTGCAAAATTGCGGTACCCGCACACGGTACCCAGTGGATGAATCTTGCTACTGTAGGTAGTAAGAATATAAGAAGGGGCGGTCATACTATCCACGTCCTCCCATTCATCCTGCTATCAAAAGATTCCGTTTAGCTATGGCCGCCGCGTCCTTGATATGATTCTTACCAGGATTAAAGAGCAGGAGTTCCTCTGCGTTAACTTTGGTCTCTGTAGCCACCTGGGACATCTTCCAGATATGCGACAGCTCTTGGGACAGTTTTCCTGCTGCTGTAAACTATTAGACAATGGCCAACTACGAGTTGCCCACCAATCTGATCTTATCCGAGCTCCAGGGCATTCTTGCTGGTGCTCCAATCACATTTCAGCCGTCCAATCCATCTTTGTCAAACTATATCAGGCTTGCTTCCGAACTCCAGGAACCTGCAACGTCCAACATCGGTAAATGCATAGCTATGAGGGATCCGGAATACTGGATTCGGACCGGGGAAACTTTCGTAATTGTTGCGTGTATTTTTCGGGAGGACGAACTTCCCCAGAACCGTGTCAAGGATAGAATTCGTGTAGTCGAAATGATGACCCATGCAGCGTCGATATTGTTCTTTCTCACCGTTGCGTCACTTCGGGCGTCTGATCGACTGGTACTTCGGCCCCACGCCCGTGCTGGAACGTGTCGGGCTCGATCCGCTCGGCATTGCGCGAGACTTACTGAGAAGCTTCCTGGCCCGGTCTCTTCTCAAATAAGATGAGCGTGGCAGCGCCCTTTAGATACGAACCGCCCCGAATCTGCCAAATGATGACGACATTAGCGAGTGTCTTGATGCGAAGTTAAGCCAACAAGAAGATAACATCTTTCTACTTCAATAGAGATATCGCGACCGCGACGGAGTCCTGGATTCTGAGATGCTACGTGGCGGCGTCAAAAATAACAGAATTACAAGTCACCCGGCATCTCGAAGGAGAGATCGGCACGTTCGTTGGGTGAAGGCCTTCCGCCACACTATAAGTGAGCAATATTCAAACACGCATCGGCTCGCGAATGCTTGCCCCCATAATCCCTGGCAGAGGAGCCACGAAGTGTAGCGTATGCTGGTGAAACAAAACCTTGTTCGACAGAAGTAGTCGAGGAAAGAATTTCTATCCTTGGAAATCGAAGATGGCAGTAGCAGTAGAGGGATGTGTAATTGCAGGGGTGGCTAAAGAAGATGCTTGATACAATCCGCATTGAGATTCAACATCCTTCCCAGATCTAGATGCTTCTCCGCCTCTCCAATTTTCCTCCTGGTAATTTACTGATCTAGCAGTTGTTGCTCTCGCAGGAGCTGCCGATGAAACGGAAAGACTGGGCACCGGGGGAGGTGGTGAGGTCGTAGCAAGACGGGCCAGCGCATGAGAGACCGAAGTCGGTACCACAGTTCAAGATGTTGTCGACACAGCTAACGGGTCATGTCAGCGAACTCGGTTCTATATATTTGCTTCAATCTCCGGCTGGGGCTGGGACTTACTAGTTCTGGCAAGGGCAGTTGGGGGAAGGCGAGAAGACCAAGGAAACCTGTGCGAGGTTGAGGTCCTGTGAGAAAATGTCAGCACACCGTAGTGTCATGCGTCTCGGTAGACAACAGCTTGGATTGGCCTGTTCTTACGTGGAACTTGATGGATTGACGGCCGTTCTCGTTCAAGCAGCCGGGGTTGTCGACGGAGACGCTCTCACCGCAACCATCATTGCAAGCGTTGTCGTTACTAGAAAGGGCGGGGAACGTCAGCTTGGTTCCGGTGGGTTCTTTCAATTGTGACTGATGTACGAACCAGAACTGAGCGTAGGTGGTGGCCTGGGCAACGCCGAAGAAGGCGGCAATGACACCGATGACAATAGTGGTCCTCATTCTGTAGATTGTTGTGTCAGTGGATGGTCGACCAAATTATCGAGCGGGTAAGAAGTCTTACTTGAAAGGTAAAGTGGGAGAGGTTGATAAAGAGGACTTGTTGTTTTGTTGTTGAGAAGATTGGATGATGTGTTGCTGATAATTTCTACAGACTAGATACTGCCGGGACTTATATATCTTGTGAACCAGTCGGAGTCCTATCAGATGAGGCCATTGTGGTCCATCTGACTGTCCTTTTGCGTCATACTCAGGTACGATCAATAGTCTACATTGCCTGCAGGAATCTCCGCTACGTTTCGCTCCCCGGAACTGAAAGTGTAATGCGATCAGACGTGGTATCTTTCCTGCGGGGGACATGTCCTCCCAGAGGTTTGAACTAATTTGGTTCTCCAGGTGATTGCCCTACGTGTAACCGAGAAAGATTAGCGTCTGCGTACCCAATGGCGAATATAGAGCATAGCCGAAGATCATGATGATTTCTGCAGAGCATGGCACGGGCAAGCGTGTACTGTAGTTGGCCGAAGGAGCCGTCATTGTCGATCATCGGGTCTTAACAAGAGTTTCTGTTACGACATTGGTAAATACAAGCAAAAGGAAATGAGCCGCGCGCAGTTCTCTGCTTCGTTTCAATCATCACCACGTGCGCAGCTACCGCTGAGTGAGCCAATGCCACACAGTTTGCTGCGTGCACACCTCCGTCGAGCCGATCGTTATGCGAGAAGGACATGGAGCCTGCCCCGCTTTAAATTGAGAATTCGGGGTAGTGACATGCGAGAAGGACAGGATATGTGTCCTACCATCGCGAATTTCGAGAAGGACAGTACGCGTGTGCTACCATGCCGGAGAGCGTGAAAAGACTAATGCCATCAAGCTTCATTTTAGCTTCCATGCATGACAGTGTGGCTTTTGGTAGCGCACCTATCCTTCAACGTCCGGTTGGGTTCGATTCGCACGTTTTGTCCCTCCTGCTCGACCACAAACCTCTCAGCCGGTCGAAGGACTGGACAATGACACTGCGGGACGGCATTGTTTCCGGAGGCCTTGTTGCTGTCCTGCCCACGTCCTTCCAATCGATCGAGGAATTGCCCAATGGCTTCATACGTATCGCAGGACTTTGCCAATCTCCGAGCTGAAATCCGGAGGACAGGCACGTGATGGTCACGTGATAAGCGCAGAAACAACTGTCAGCATGACGCCATTATGGCCTCTCGATATTGGCTTCGTTCTTGCCGAGGCAGTGACTTTTCGGGATGATTCAGCATTACTCTCTCAAGTCAACACGTCCCTCTCAAAACATCATTCGATACCTGGAGTTTGAACACAATATTCTTGAGATTGCACAGAAACGTCTCAAGTGAGCAACCGATCCTCTTGAATAGCTCGTCGTGGAGCGCCTCCGAAGTCCATTTAGGGCTGCGCTGGAGCGCGTTTGTTGTGTGCGACACGTTGCCGCCTCATCAGTCTTCGAACAACAGACTATGGTGAGACCGCACTTGAAATGCCCAGTTCCATATCACGGACATGTCGCGTGATAACTTGGAACAAGGTATAACATTACTGCATGACAGGATTGCTTTTTTAAAGGTTCAAGATGGCGTTTCTGGTACATAAGCCGCCCCTTGGACGCCTGGATCCTGGCTGGGCTTCAATGTTTGATCCAACTTAAGGATCCATTTCGAGACATCTCGAAACGTCGGTTCTTGACATGTCATGGCATCTGGCGGTATGCGATCCTCCGGGCTGATTCATGCTCCAAAGGCGGCTCCGATAAGCTTACACTATGTTTCATTTGAAGATCAAATGCTACACATGGGAGGCCTTGCCTACGGACGTGCCCCAAAAAAGAAACGAGCTCTCGAGGGAAACACACTTTGCTCTCGACTGAAATGAGATATAAGTTAGAGCTCGAAATCAACTCTCGCAGAGCAATTCCGAACTACTAAGATCACCCGCAACACCCTGGCTTTCAAAATGCGCATCAGCCAAGTATGCCCACTCGCACTGCTCTGCACAGCGCCGTGGACCTTTGCCAGCCCAACAACTTCCAAGCGCAATCCAGACGCTCCTCGTTGCGTAACAGCCCAGACAGCCAGTCACCAATGTCTCCTTGACGCCATCGTCGCCGGCGGCGACGGACTAGCGCTACAAGTCTGGGAGAACGGCAAGGCCCTCAAATGTAGGACCAAAGACCATCTCTGGGCCTCTCAGAAGTCCGTCTGGCACTTCACATGCGACGGTGGTGCCAAAGCCGAGGTCTCAAATAACGGCGGCCATCTTGTCTTCACCAGTGGGAACGGCTGGTCGGCGGATCTCCCGCGCACCAATGGTGGCGCTGGCCGAAGTGGTCGACAGGAGTACGGTGTGACCGCGAGGCATCCGTATTATGGTTATGACTTCGAACATATCTTTGCGACGGATGCGCTTAGCAACCCACGGACCAGCTTGGTGGAGGGCGCCTCATTGAGCTGATAACGAGTCAAAGCGCGACTACGTCAACTATAGCGTTAAGTGTGGCTCTGCGAGCTGAGAATCCGAGACTCAGCTAGGATTGTCGAGCGTTTCGTCGCGGCTTCAGCCCGTATGCCTCTCGTGGCAATAAGTTCTGTATGCCTGCCTGAGGCACAAATTGACGATGATGCAATTAACAACATCGCCCTATCGTAACCTTCGGGGGACCATTCCCCGAAAGGCCGCTCTGCGCCCCGCCTACTCCCGGAAGGACAGCGTAGGGACCGGTCGCAAACACCAATACGCAGTCGTGGCAGTACAGCAATAAGAGAAATCCAGGCATGGGAAAATCGGACATGATCAATTCCGAATATGAAAGGCATGCAGGCATCAACCTTGGGACCCTTAAGCGAATTCTCTATAGCAGTTGAATAGATATATGTTGAGAAGGAAAGCACAGCACTCATTGTACATCTTACAACATCTGCAATTCTCGATTATCAATTGCGCCCATCTCTTTCCCACCATGCCTACTTACGCTGTATTTGGCGCTACAGGAAACGTCGGCACTGCCCTGATGAAAGTGCTCCTTGATTCGTCAGACAATCACATTCACGCGTATTGTCGATCACGCGACAAGCTAGAAAAACTCGTGCCTGAAGTTTCATCAAGTCGAAATGTCCAGACATTCGAAGGCAGCGCTGACGACATCGATCTGTTGGCAAGCTGTCTCCGCGGCACGAAAGCTGCTTTCCTAGCTCTCGCCCCACCGGGCAACCAACCGGGCGGAACACTTGTATATGACTTCTCGACCAAGATCATCGCAGCATTGAAGCAGCTTCGCACTCAGCAGGTGGCTCTACCAAAGCTCATCGTGCTTTCGTCGGCATCAACTGAGCACAGACTCATGGCAGGGACACCGAAATTCCTCCTCGGCATTCTTTATCGAGCGTTCCATCATACCTATGAGGACCTGAAGGCAGCCGAGCAGCTTTTAAAATCAGAGGAATCGCTCGTCAGCGCGACCTTCATCAAACCTGGGGCTTTGACGGACGACAAGCGCAATGGATTCGTACTCAGCTTCACGGAAGCCAAGTCACCACTCTCATTTCTGGACCTTGCTGCAGGAATGGTTGAAGTCGGCCAGGACATCTCGGAAAGATATGATGGAAAGTCGGTCGCAGTCAATGCAACAGGCTCAGTTCGATTTCCAAGAGAGGCGCCCTCACTACTCCTAAGGGGCTTGATTGTATATTTCGTTCCCTTTATGTATCGTTTCATCGGATGAATCGAAATCTAGGCTCTTTGTAACGTACTCCCCAGCGTAATATTGCTCATTGATACCCAGATCTATGGGTCATGACAGACTGTACAGTACACTGCTGTGGTGAATGCTAATTCATTCAAGTTTCTACCGCCATAATGGAGCTAGTAGATCATTACGCGACGTCATTTCTGCTCCAATGATATTATCCGATCCCATCTAGCGCTACCTCTGCCCTACTCTGTCTACTTTTGACTTTAATCCACCGGGGCGGTCAGGCTCAATCTCCTCGATCGCGCACTTGGACTGACCAAAGAAGAGTAAAGAATAGGACACTATCTTGCTCTCGGAGGCGCTCAAGAAACATATCGGCTTTCCCATCACCTCCGCTCCTGGCTTTCTCTGCTACTGTCTATGCGCGCGCTTGGTAGATGGACCGAAACATGGATGGTCAGAATTGACCGCGGCAACGTCGACAATTTAATGCAGACCGGTCCTGATCTCACCGGACGAGCGTTCAATTCGGCTGACGTTGAAGCCGGAAGAGTCGCTGCGATAGTTGCTCCGATAATCAAGCTCCGCATCGAATTGACCGGCCTGACTCGGCGACTTACAAGATCTAGCAGGACAAACGACCCCAATGGCGCGCACCCCGCTGGCTTATTGCCAAAGGGAGCAGCACGCCTGCAGTCAGCTTCCAGGCTAGTCCGACGGATCAAGCAGGGAGACGTTACCTCGAGACGAAAATGGCTTCAAATTCCAAAGGGAACAATGTATCTTTAGCCCTCATTCCGTTCATTGTTGGTCAGCATATGTTACGCTTTTGCATCAGCGAACCCTTGTAGATGCCACACCTTTCCATCAACCACGCACCTAGGTCATGGACGCTTCGATTGTCGCCAGGTGGGCTCGTTCTATAAGAGACCGACAATTACCTCTAAAGATTACGATGAATTCCAAATATCAACCTACCATCGCTCTGTCCTCACTATAGACGTTAACAAAATCGACCATGTGTGTTCGCATGTCCATTCAGAGTCTGATAGCCAGTCTGGTTCTGTTCTCGAATACTGCGGTAGCTGCTGGTAGAACCTCTTCCATTCCAACCGCAATTCACGTCAACCGAATCAATTCTAGCTGGATATGACTCACAGAAGCATGCATCAAACCGTCCAACCGAGACCACCACCAACCACATCCCTTCCATGAGCACAATCACCGACTACGAAAGTGTCTCTTTCCGTGTCGTCACCGCCACAGAAGCCTCCGACGTACCCATAGCCACCCACGGCGCCGCCTATGATTCCTCCAACCAACTCTCCCACGTCTCCGACAACACCATCGATCCGAACTTTGCCTATCGCTACTCGATCATTCCCTCCTTCCTTTTCACACCCTACTTCAACTATGTCAAAGCCATTGAGTAGGGCTCCAGCCGCGCTGAGTTCTTCTTCGACGTGAAAACAGAGAACTTTCTGACCTTCTCCCTGTCGGCCGATGACAAGGATGTCAACGCCTCGTGGTCATTCAATGCTAGTGTGCTGCCATTCTATGTCCTGCCCGCAGACAACAGTACCCAGATTTACACTACTATGAATGCCTATCGCAGTTCATTTGAACATTCTGGGACAGCCTGATTTTATGCCGCCTCGGACGCAGGACGAGACGGCAGCACGAAATAGGAAATTCTGAATGCGGAACGGCCTTGATTTTGGCACCTCTCTGATCTCGAATCTAGTTCGTGTCGTCGGTACCTCAGACCAACTAGCTTGCTTCATATACATCGCAACCGGTGTGTGGAGCGGATAACAAATTCGCGTGGGACTATCGCTCGTCATCTCTGAAGTGTAAACTTTCTTCCCATTACGGGAGCCATTAACCTGACAAACTCTTCTACATGTTGGTATGCTGTAGTGTGTCGAGTGAAACAAAAGCTGTCGCTTCCAAGTGTTTTGAATTTTGTATCACAATTCCCTGGCAGGCGCGTTGTGGCCTCAGGCATTAAGATACGACTCATCTTGACTCATGCTTTCTGTATAGTATCCGCGGCAATCGCTGGTAAAAGTCACTACATTCTTTATTCCTCATGTATGAAAGTTGCTTGCATGCGCATTGAAATCTGCGGCGGCATAACGGCAGAAGTACAGGGACTGTTCGTGATACAGATTTATCAACAACGACATTAGCCGTACACGAAGCCGCATTGGTTAACGACTTCTCCAGCTAAGCGCGGTATCCAACTTTGTCTGATTAACGAATTCAGCTTCGAATATGAGCGCCGTCAATTTAGGGGCTCCACTGGAGACCTGCACACTTGAGGATGGACGTACTCTAGCCTTTGGCAGATACGGCGCTCTGACGAATAATGCGGGCGTACCGTTCTTTTACTTCAATGGAACTCCGAGTAGTCGTCGCGAAGCTATTATGCTGAGCGAGACTGCTTGCAAGCTTGGTATAACTTTGATCGGTGTGGACCGTCCCGGCCTAGGCCATTCAAGCTTCCAAGAGCATCGTAGGCTTCTTGACTGGCCCAGAGACATCCATGCTCTAGCCGACCATCTCGATATTCACAAGTTCGCAGTCCTGGGCGTATCCGGTGGTGGACCACACGTGCTGGCATGCTTGCATGAGATCAGCTCCGATCGCCTCGTAGCGGCCACGACTGTTTCGGGTATGTGGCCTATGAAGTTTGGTGCTGCTGGCATGATGCTACCGACGTGGTTAACATTCAAGATGGCTGCTTGGTCTCCCTGGGTGGCTGAGCTCGCTTTGGAAACCTTCTTAGGCAAAGCGGCTCGATCATCAGACCGTGAAGCATTGAAGGAGAAAATGCGCGCAAATCTCGGATCGCTTCCGACGCCCCCAATCGACAAGGAATGCGTGGAAGAATTCCTGGAGAATGACGTTCTAACCGAAACCATGATAGGTGGGATACAGGACGCCTTTCGACTTTCCAGCCGGGGTGCCGTACGGGACTTTCACATTATGGGGACGGAGTGGGAGTTTGATGTGGCAAACGTAGACGCTCGTCGTGTTACAGTCTGGCACGGTGACCTCGATGCGAATATTCCCATGAGTATGGTCAATCGAGCGACGAAACTCATGCCTGGAACCAAGGTCAATATTTTTGAGGGCCACGGGCATCTTTCGCTTGTTTTACGACATCAAGAAGACATACTCAAAGAACTTCTGGCACGAACTCAAGCGGAAGACGTCGACGATTGATGGATACGTATGATTTACGCATCCGGCCCTGATTTTTTATGTACATGATGTATATTAGCCCATCTCAACTCTCACATTGATCCATGCAGCAGGAATACTATGGTACGATCGAAGCATTTCCTCTCTACCTCTCCGCATCGCTTAGGTTTGGACCTTCTAGCTATCTTCGTGTCTATACCTCCTGAGATATCACTATAACATCCTGCTTCTGTCCTGCAAATCTTCAGCACCTCGTGAATAGCTGGATGTCCAACCCATGACCGTCTAATAGACCATCCGCGAGTTGTCCTTGTCACTTGTCCTCGCTGGTAATCTGCAGCCTGGTCGGGCCTGAATTTGTATTTCCCACCACGCAATCGACATCACTACACGCAGTCACTCCCAACGGCCAAGGAACCCTGTTCTGGTTGTGGAACGTTGCATCACGAATCTTCGGACAGGAAACCACCAAGTTCGACTATCTTCTCGTTTCGTCCACTCCGAAGGCGGTAGAGGCTGTCGATTCAATTACTCAGCTAGTCTATATCAAAGTTTTACTAGTTTTATCGTGTCAAATCACACAAGGAATGTGCAGGTGGACTTGGACATTCGAGGACCCATGATCTATTCATGCGTGTATCTACATGCGCATTGGTGTCGAGGTGTACGACCATCCACATCACCCGGGGTAATGGAGTCATCGCGAACATACAGTAATATCAGGCTCCGAGGCGCATTCGCAAAGACAATTTGTGGTCATGTCTTGATAATGTCACGATGACTCTCCGACACGTCCCGCGTTCTTAGAGGCTCGACTTTTCTGTAGGAAAGGGACGCATGATACTTTGTTGGCTCATCTCCACCACCAGCTTTCCGGCCTCGTTGAAGAGACGTGAGGTGCTATAAGTCCGGCCGCCGCCTCCTGTCACGGTGGAAATCTCGCGCAAGTGCCAATTGTTGAAATCAGGATCATTGTCGAAGAATCGTAAGGCAAAATCAAGGCTACTGCAAGCCTTCACATCGGTGAGAAACAACTTGCTGTGTGTCAGTGGGATGAAGGAGATCGCGCCGTCCATGTGAAAGGCGACTGTGCAAATTTGCTCAGTGTAGCTGCGCGACGGGTGCCGCGACCTCGCCCAATCGAATGAGGCCTTGTCAACGAGTGCGAGATCGTCTTGTGTCGTTGGCGCGTCCTTCAGTAAGCCGTACATATTCTGCGTGGCGAGGCTGTCCGGGACAGCGTGCTGCTCGTAGAAACGCCTGGCAGGCTCGAATGTCTTCTCGAACATGCGTACTGCACCCTTGCTGGAACCGGGCAGTCGGAGCATCTCCTCGGTTGTGCGAGCATGGTCCCAGCTATCTGCCAACGCCTTAGCCCGCGCTGGCGGCGGCACGGAGTAGTTCAGCAGCGATTCTGGCTCGCGGCGGTGAAAGTCAATGTGAGCGCTAAGTACTGCTCGCACCGCTCCATCGTCCATGACCTGACTGACGATGACGGTCCGCGTTGCGAAGCTCCCAGTGTCACGAATTGTCGTGACATTGGCACGGAAGCATCGATCGGCCTTGGCTCCAGACAGAAAATGGCCCAAGGCGGAATATACCCGATGTGTGTCCACGGTCACTGTGGCGGATGCGACATTGAGCGCGAACGCGAGCGCACATCCTCCTATATTGAGATGATGAGCTTTAACTGAAGCTTGCGATTTATACTAATTTACACTCGCCGTAAGCAATGTCGGCGGCATTGCCCATGCGAACGGGATGTTGTCGGGATACGTAGAGATCTGAATCAATTTTGTCGAATGCGACGAGTTCGACCACAGACTGCGCCATATTTGTACCTGCGCCCCCCGTTTGCTCTAGGGAAAGATATCAAGACAAATCGTAGAGATTCTTCGATTAATTGCTGTTCGACGAGCCAGGTTTCCACGTGCCGAGCAGGACCGAGGCATGTGAGAATGCGGCTCGGGCTCGCAATCGTGGGGACCCTAGGTGGCGAACCCGGGCTCCGCTGGTGTGTCGGTAGGGGGCCGCACGCGAAGGTCTATCTTCGATCATCGCCCGGTTCATGGATAAATATGATGAGCCTCATGTCGACGGACATTCGAATCTCGCTGAATTTTCTCTACGCTGTCATAATGCAGCTATATTCGTTACCATCCGCTGAGGCGCTGATTTCCAAAGCAACTTCTCGTGCAGTCCGTGACGTGGGGACGTGAATATTAGCACGTGGCAAGACAGAGACTAGCCCGACTTACGGAACCCGCATCACTTGTCAGCCCTATCGGAAACTGTAGGTGGGTTTGATGAAAGTCACTTCCAGGTCGGAATCCCATAGCTGTTCCACTGGGCAGGCATTGGTCATTTCGACTGCACGGATGCCCTTGAAAAAGCTGCCCGCGGGTGTTTGGAACCCGCTTGAAAGAATGTCGTGATATGCCGCTGTGTCTCTATGCGACGCAGTTCAGTTTTGCACCACTGTGAGGGATTGAGAGACGCACAGCTCTAGACATATCCAACCCTTGTCGATTTTCCAAAATGCCCGGAGAAGCAATACCGTAATCTTCGAAGAATCCGACGATACCCGTTGCCTACCTAGGGTTGCAGAACCCTACTAAGGCCTCTCACCAGTCGAGAATCATGAGGTCTTCTTCAGGCGTTGTGCTCATGTTGCACAGGCTTTTGCTGACCTTTAAAGCGTCATGTACCGCAGAAATTCCTTGAAAGCTTGTTGCGTCCCACTTTTGCGTGAATCCAAATTTTGGGTGCATTCTTATCTTCATATGGAGGTAGTTTCGACGAAATGGGCGATCAACTCTTCCAAGAACTTACCGCCAACATCTCTAGTAGAATTCACAGGGATGTTAACGGGTTTTACGCCAAGTACTTTGAGCGTGCGAATCGAGTATCTGAGTCACGAGAATCGTGGACCTCCTCACCGAAATTCTCAATACGATCTGAAGATGGCCTTCTCATGTGGTTGAACGCGACGCAGGCCGTTCAACACGGACGAATGACGGAGTGGTGTCTAGCGACGCCATCGTTGAGCCCGCCATATTGCCGTCAACACATTCGGCTTGTGCTAGCGAACTATGCCGAGAAGGCACTTGATCCAGCATGGCCACACGTTCAGGCCCTCGGTTATTTCCATGATGCGTCCAACTGTTCTTGGCAGACCATGTTTCTGGACCTTTGTGAACAAGCTCGTCATGTCTTTGTGCATCAGCCAGCTCGTATGTTTCTCCACAGCTTCATTATTAAAGATAACTCTATTGAGCCTTGGATTTTCGACAGAGCGGGGGTCTACAGCGGTGGCTTTCTCAACGCCGACTACGATTTGGAGCGCATCAAGGACTTGTTGGCATCCTACACAGTCATGGATCCTGACGAACTGGGCGTCAGTCCATGGCCCGAGCTATCAAACCTGGGCGTCAAATACATCACGATGAGCAGCGGCGAGCGTTTAGTTCTCGACGAGTCACCTCTTTGCCAAGATTCGGATCTCCTCGGCTCGGGTCTTGTAGTGTACAAAGGCAAGACAGAATCCTCCGACACCTGGGATTGGGCTTGTAAGGTCAAATGGGAACACAAGCGCGTCAACGTTCCGGGAGAGGAAATAACACTGAAACTTGCAACAGACAGGAACGTGTGGGGAGTCACGAAGCTTGTTGATTTTCAGGCGCTCACGTCTATTGCCAGTCTCCGAGAGGGCCTTGGGTTTGACTCGGTGAGGCCTGTCTCATTGTCGAACGGCAGTGACGATGCAGCGATGAAATTTGAATTGCAAAACATGACGCTTTCGTGTTTTGTCACATCCCCACTCGCAACGGAATTAAGCGAGTTCACGAGCGTACGCCAGCTATTGGGAGCCATAGTCGACTCAATCAGAGCCCATGAATCTCTTCACTCGAACAACATACTGCACCAAGACATCTCAGCTGGAAATATCATGATTTCTGGGAGTAGTGCATCGCAATCTGGCAAAGAACCAAGAGGTATACTGATCGACTTCGGCCTCGCAATGGAGCTGGATGATATCTTGCCAGATGGCAGGACCGCTCATGGTAGTCGACTCTTCATGTCAATCGGCGTGATGAACCGCAAACACCACACCTATCGCCACGATCTTGAGTCTTTCTTGTATGTTTTTATCTGGATGGCAGTGCGTGGTAATACTGAGGAGCTACCCGATACGAGCATTCTTCGCAACTGGTCAAAACCCGACTTTGGAGAGCGAATCTCATACAAGACGCAGGACATGAGTAAGCCAGGATTCGAAAAGGTATTGGATGAGTTTTTGCCTCGATTCGAAGGTGTGAAAGAGCTTGCGCGTGAGCTGCGCACGATACTCTTCCGGACAGACGGAGTGGACGAACCGCTGTGGACCGAAACGAACACGGGAGAAGCCGCGACACGAGAGCTTTACGGCGGGATCATTAGTGCCTTCAACAAGGCGATCGCAAAGATACCTGCATCAATTTGAGCTGCAGAGAGAACGGACGCAACTGCGTTCGAGGCCTAGACAGAGATCGAATTTGCACCATGACAGGACGTTCTTGTCGTCGCGTGATGGCGTCTGCTCGTATCACGCTTTTGTTTTCATGGAGGATTCTACCCGTCATTAGTTCACACCGTATTGCAGTCTTGTTGAAACCTGCCCACATACTTTCCAGAGATGTAGGAGGAATTTGCTGCGCAATTTTCCGTCAGGACGGATCCTCAAAGCCAATCAGCCCTGTAGAAATCGGCGGTGCTTTAAACTGATACGGCAAATACTGACTAGCCAGAGCTGTCCGTTAACACCATTCGGAAGGTCCCGTGTGAGATGAAGCATTCTCCGCGGAGAACACCTACCCTCTCTACTGTGCCACACCGTTGGCTGGTCACCTCACAGCGTGCGTGGATTACGTTAAATCAGTACAAAATACCTGAATCCTGACGGCAGCGGCTCCGACGCAGGGCGATATGTCGCGATCGCTGTCACGCATACATCTCTGAACATCGAGCGACGCTCTAACACAAGTCTGCCCTTTCAGCCTCGTTTCATCTCGCCGGAACATCTTCCGCACAGTTTGAGAATATGACGGTCTCGATATTGGCCACTCCTCGCCCTCTCCTACGTTCCATAATTCACTCAAACTACCGGGGGCTTTTAATTTCGACGTTTTCTCCTCATTTCTCCATATTTCTCCTCCGCTTGACTAGATACTAGTCGTAATCTAGAGCGCGCGAAGAATTAGTGTCCGTAGGGCTATCGGCCTCTTTCTTCGTGCTTTCGCCTTGACAAATTCCAGAAGCTTGGTACGCCAGTGGCCGGATCAACGGGAGAGCCAAAAGTAAAGCTAAAAGGAAACGACCTCGGGACTTCCATATTGGATTGACAGAAGAAAGGGTGTCGTCCTCTGGAAACCCGGGAAAATGGTGAGTCGCGAACACCCAACCCAACGAAACACCCTCGCTCCAGTACTGCGGCAGTCCCTGTCTAAAATACATTAACCGGCTCAATCCCTTCATGCGGCGAGTCATTTACGAAGAACTGTAGAGAGCGCCTGGCCAATCACGTGGGTATTTCATACTTTATCTCCTCTTCGATATTATCCCGGTCTTTGATTGGCGACTAAGACATAACAATCGTGCCCGGGTGTCGTGGTGAAGATCTTCATTCAATTCCGAACGTCTTGCGTCACTTTACGCCTCGTCACACGGACACACTCCAGCACACAGACATACGACTTCGCCAACCTAGATGGTACACATCATCCGGAAGAAGAAGTCGCATCATAGGCATCCATGCGGCGGATCTTCAGGAAGAATACCTCCCCGAACTCGTCCTCTTTCTTTTGTCTTCCCTGCTCGATCGTTCACAGGACGAAAGAGTCAATTATTCCTAGGCTCTGCTAGCCAGTTTTCTCCCTGCTGCTGATCATCGTGGTGCTGCTCCTTCCCTTCTATCATCCATTTCTCACAATTCCTCACCGTCGTGGTACCCACCCCAAACTCTACTTCTTCCCCTTCAGCAACAGCAGACTTGCTTCCATCGCCTTCACGAATTACAAATAGATGACGCAATGAGACGACTCTATTTAGTAGACGACGGAATTGACAACGAAGCACGCAAGGCAGAAGGAGCAGGCGAAGAGATTCGAACTCCACTAGCAGCATTGACCACAACTCACTCTTTCAGTGATCGTCGTCGTCATCATCGCGACAAAAATGAGCGACAAGCCTCACAGCCGAGTAGCAAAGATGTCACTTGGTCTCGAACAACAGTACATCTCGAGGAAGCTGAGACTGGACGAATGAGTACCGACTGTGGTAATGAACTGGGGCGCGAAATCCTGGGTTATGCTCTCCCGCCACACTCTAATGTCCTGGATGATCCGCTGTCTGTGATTGCGCTCACAATGTCAGTGGCGGCGAAGCCAATCCGCACGCCAACTCATGATGAGCACGCTACACCTCGCACATCCTCTAGTCGCAGTAAACAGCGGCAGCATCACTATAGTGAGTCTCATCAGCGTCATCAACGTCGACGTTCCTCCTCCTGGGCTGCCGGGGCAACTGCTATCTCTCCCACTGTTGGCAAAGATACTGTCATCGTCAGTGGCGCAGCTCGCTTCGGACTCTCGGAGCTCAACCTCGGACTCGCGCGAGTGGAACGTCTCCCCGATGAACTCAAGACCGGAGACAGCCTGACCTCTGCTACCTCTTCGTCGTCCATCTTTTCCTCAGACTCGTCGGAATACTTTTCCATGACGAGTGATGATTCAAGCTTCGACCACGACGACAGTAGCGATGAAGATGATAAATCTGAACAACAAAGAAAGGTTTTGAGGGACCGAGTAGAGCCCAAAGTTCTTATCTCTTCAATAATCCCTGTTGGTGCCGCTGCTAGTGCCACCACAAGTAATAACAGCACTAGTATCAAAGGACGCCAATCCACCGGCTGCGTCCTCGTCGCTCACCACCTCAACAGCGATGACAGCAGCAGCAAGTCCCACAATGTCGACCACAACAACCTCTCATTACTGTCAAAAGGGAGGTCGAAAGCAACAACCACAGAATCGACGACGACCGCAGCCCCATCAAATCCTGACACAACAGTGATCGACATGCTCACGCTGATCTCTCACCTGAGCGGCGACTTCAGTCAATCTCGCCCCAGTCCTCCCTCCCTCCGCGATAAAATCGATGACGATGAACTGGATGGCCTCCTTGGTTTACAACGTGCAAAATCTCGGCAAAAACGCCACCGATCACGTACAAAGGTCGAGGACGATATGCCATCCAGACCCATCAATGCCACCAGTCGCAAACTTGCCTCGCTCCTCGGTCCTGACTTCCATGCTAGTCCAGCGTCAGCAGCAGCAGCAGCTTCGAGTTCCTCGCCTAGGCTATTCTTGAAGAGATCGCTAGTTTCTTTAAGAGGGGGAGGAAACGGAGCAGCAGAGAGGGCATCAAACTCATCTGTTAATTCGGTGACATCTTCAGCCTCGACAGACTCGAAGCGCACTGCAAACTTGGCATCGAATTCCTCGTCGCGGTCACGGCGAATACAGAGGGAGGTTTCGGTGAGGCAGGGCCCTTCATCTTCGACAGCGGGAAAGCGCAGCGGCCATGGAAACGTCGAGGTTCACATTGGCTACAACGATGCCGGCGAGGACAATGACACTTACGAAAGCGACGGAGAGGACGCCTGCTGTCCGCCAAATATTCCCCTTGCGCCAAATCAAATGCGGCATGATCTTCCTACCCAACTCAGCCATTCGTCGTCATGGTCGTCGTCGTATCAAGCCTTCTCAAAACCATCATCGTATCTACCATCATCATCATCGCCATCATCAACATATTTGTCGTCGGCATCATCACCAGCAATGGCGGCCTTCAAGACGACAGCGTCGAAATCGACGAGGAGGTCACCAAATAAAGATCCGGGTTCACTTGAGCAGTCAGCGCCGAGATGGGGTTCATTATTGAGTGGGACGTCATCTATGTCGTCGTCGAAACAAGCCTTTTTTGTGGACGGCAGTAGTTTGAGGTGAATCGCGACATCCATTCAGCGGGTTATGGCTGGACGAGAGACGGCCTGTACAAGAGATGACAGGCTTTTTCGTTGGTAGCTTGTTTCCTCCCGTTTGGCGATATTCTTGGAGCTTTTTCTTGTTCAAAGTCAACGACACCTTTTGGCTGAACCACATTTCCTTTTTACGATCGCCGGGGTCTTGCTATGGTTCGATTGGATATCTGCAGCTTTGGATGCTACCGATACTTTAAACCGGCACTCCACGGTTATCAAGCTGCTTTAATATTCCAAATTCACTCTAGTCTTGACATCCTCGAATCCGATCCGCTCGTCTAAGTTTAAGTTAGTAAATTGAGCAAGAGCAACACCATCCCTATAGGTGACGGCTCCCATCCTTGTCAGATTAAGTTTTCGTGCACAGGAGCTATCAAGGTGAACTTGCCGTTGCGTGCTTCGGCAACGACTTTTTCTGCTAACTGGACACCTCTCGAGAAGCTACATCGTTAGCAGAAAGTCACATTTCAATAGGAGCCTGTAAGTCGCTATCTAATCCGAAGACCTTTCCACTCTATGATGAACTAAACGTCGTCATAAAGCGAAAGTCTACCTCGGCATGGGCGGTCTCCAGAGGGACGCTCTGTGCTTAGATTGAAGCACAAATGTAGGCTTGTTCCACTTCCACCGGCCCAATCTGCATTGCTCTGCTGCACCATTGCTCGTACGTAGGCGCGTTTCTTACCAGCGGTTGAAGCTATTCACCACAATCAGCTTATCATCGAGGATGTTGAATCTTGGAATTGCCAGGATTATGTAGTGGAGATGTACGAAAGCATTATGGCGAGTGGTATCTCTATCGAGGAGGTAGGAGGCAGGAACATCATGATGGAGAGATTCGGTGCTGTGGGGAGCTTCACGGAGCCCGGAGATGACGATATTGAGGATGAGCACAGCGAACCTCACCGTCGTCCTATCCTGTCCGCAGAGACGATCGAGAATTGTTCTGATGAGAAGTGAGATTGTAGTGGTGCAAAGACATATTTGTTGGTCAATCGTGAGAATCAGTAGGAACGGTCGTTTTCTCAAGCCGTACTTATAATGTTCCTTCGCCAGTGTTCTTAGCCATGACCGAATTTATTTTCTAGATTTCTGCTAGCGAACCGGTGAACAGCATATCTCGGTGCGCTTTGAGGAGGAGGAGCACAGCTTTTATTCAATTATATTGCTTTGACCCGTAAGCTCTACGTCAATCAGCGTCGCATCTACGCGGTATCCATCCCCACCACCTCCTCCCACGCCGCGGGTCCGCCGTCAAGAATACTCTGCATGACGCGATACAACGCGTCAAAACAATCCCTCCGAACCATCATACTCCTCCAGCAAACAACGCGATCGGGTCTGAGCAGCACACAACCATCCTCCTCAATCTCCCTCTTCCTCGCCCAGTCACCATAGACATCCTCGTAATCCTGCCTCCAACCGATGGAGTATGCCTTCAAGATAATGCCTGTTTTCAACACATACTTTCTCGCCGCGCGAATCCATTCCTCGCCACCGATGCCGGTGAGGAGAACGAAACATTCGTGGCCGGCGAGGTCGATCGTGCTGATTTGTTGTCCTGGAACGCTTTTGTTGAGCCAGGCGTGGGGCACGCGGGAGCCTGGGTAAGTCGTTACTTCGTGGGTGAGGATGGGGTCGGCGGGTAGGGAGCCCTGGGGTGCGAACTCGTCGGAGAGGTAGATTGCTTTGGAGCGGTAGCGTTGGTTCATCTCGATGCCGATGGCGCAGACTTCGTGGATGACGTGGCGGACGCCCTCCTGGAATAAGGCATACAGGTCAGTGGGATGAACTTATATTGGTCTGGAAAAAATAGTCCTGACTCACCTGCAGACGTTTCCGTCGTATACGTCCCGCTTCGGTGGCGGCGGAGAGCTCGGCATATTGGCGGACTCGCTCTTCTACGGTCGCACCTGTCATCCCGAGCGCCTCCATGACGGGACCCTGATTGCGTAGGCCCTGGTTCGCGCGTTGCACGACGCCGGCTCCGATCGGTTGTCGCTCCAGACTGAAGGAGTCGAGGAGACGAGGACCAGCCTGTTGATACTCCACGTACGCAGCCTTCCATGCCAGGTTCCACGCATCTTGAATACAGGTGTTGCTTCCGAGACCATTGACGGGCGGATGGCGATGCACCGCATCTCCCAGACAGAAGACGTTTCCGTCGGAATATCTCTCGGCGACTATCTCATTGATCAGCCACTTCGATACATTCAGGATACTGAACGGGAGGGAATCATCTCCGATCCATTGTCGCATCCTCTGCTCAATAGCTTCGTGGCTGGGGATTGTTGTGAAATCATCATAACCAGGCTGTGGTAGAACAATGAATATCCATTGATTCCACGGCTTGATGACCCGCGCAATGGCTGCGAATCCCCATGGAGGATGCTCAATCTCGGGAGTGAGGCACACGTGGAGATTTCCCATACGGGGCTCGATGTGCTTCGAGAGATCGACATCAACTAGAATGTTGAACGCGAGGCCCTGGCCGGGCTGTCTGAGCAAGGGAATTTCGAGTTGACGCATGATTGTGCTCCGGGCGCCATCGCAACCGAAGAGGTACTTCGAGGAAATTTGATAGGTCTGGCCAGTTAGGTTATCCTGGATCGTTGAGATGATTCGGCTCGTCGGCGACTTGCGCTCGAAGCGTTGAAAGGTCGAGTCGTATCGGACTGTCCATCCAGATGCGATAGCTCGCTGAATCAGGATCGGCTCCAGGAGAGTTTGCGGCAGATCGATGGGCGCGCATGGGGTCACCTCTTCGTATTGGCCTTTCTGTTCGGGATGATTACCCCAGGAATGAACTCGAGCGTATTCCTCGCCGGCCATGTCATGACCCCATCGGTAGTGTAGCATGTGGGTCTTGGGCATTCCATCGTGCTTGGCTGCCTCCTCGAGGCCGATGTCGCGGAGGCATTCCAGAGCCGCGGGGTTGGTGATGTGAGCTTTCGGGGTCCGCGTGGTTCCGGAGTCAGCGTCAATAAGAAGTCCCTTGAAATGATGTGCTGAGAGGAAACATGCGAGCGAGGCGCCGGCGGGACCTCCGCCGATGATTAGGAATGTTGTTTCGATCATGTTCTCCCGTCTCAGGCGATGCAACTTGGTCTTGGTCTAGTGTTGTGATATGGATACAATATATCTTTTCAGTTCGTCTTGTCCACCAGCCACGCTGTCGATTGGGTGACCAGTGTAGACGGTGGAATGTCCGCATTTTTATATCTTCACATCCCAAACTACTACGTACAGTCCATAGTCATATCGAGATGCGGAGGTTGGGAAGGATTCGGCCCCAACCCTCTCTAGCGGTCCTTCTTCCAGTCTCATCTTCCTTCCGGTGTCATCTTGCCATTGATTTGACAGCCTACAATGTCCGGTTCCACTATAATCCTTCTAACATCCCAAGCAGACATGTCCTTTGTAGTGTACTCGTCACGTGACTCACTGGCCTGAAATGACTCGACGGGAAATTCAGTCAGGGTTCGGATTAAGGGTTGGGTTTAATCAAGACTTGCAAGCCAAACACAAATGGCGGCCAAATTACAACAAGCGGTCGGCCACCGTCGGACTATCCGAATCCACAACAGCCTGTGTGTGCGGAGCGCCAGAAAAAACAGACTTCTCAATGAATATTCAGCATCATATCGTTCGTCTTTTACTTGTTGCTCCTCGTACGCGATGTTCCTTTAGCGATAGCACTTGACATTTCCGGCGAGCTACTCTCATCTCAACTCTGCAGATCATTGCGCCATGCCTCCACCGACCATTCATCACGTCTGAGTTGTCCCGGAATGGAGACTGTGCGCCGGCTGTGACTTGGATTCCGGTCGGCTGTCGGAGGATATTATTTGTTCAACCGTCTGTGTTGCGATCGCCGCGTCTAGCGAGTCGTGATGTGCTGTGTGTCATCGTGAGACACCTGGCCGCCGCCGATGTGTGAGGCCGCAAGCGGAACAGATGTAAATTCCCAAATTCGATTCGCACCGAGGGCTGCGTGCGTTTGCAGTCGGAGTTCTGTATTGAGCCATTCCCAGCCATCCCGTCATTTTCCCAGGATGGCAGCCAGAACTCGTGCATCGAAATCGTTATCATTTGCGAGATGCACTCCGCACAAACGCGCTGCTTCCGAGCTGCGGCGACGACCAAAGTCCCGCTCGCGACTCGAAAACCTCTCCCTTCTCTTCCCACTCATTCTCTGATCTCGAATTGCTGTATTCCCGGTGATGCCGCGGTCGAATTCCTCCAAATCATTCTGGCGAGATATGACGCGGTGATGCAGCGAGTACTCCACCACGCTCTTCTTGAGGGTTGCAAAAGTCATGTGTAAAAAAGTTCAAACAAGACATATCCCATCTTTAAGCGAAGCAGTCATCGTAGGTCTTGGTGTGCCTATCTTTCGCATGTGTCTCAAGAGCGGGCTTCTTGGTGGTACTCTGGAAAGTCTGGAAGCAAATCTTGCATTTGACGCTCTGAGCTGCCTCGTTCTATGGACCCGCAGTATTTCAGAACTTCGGTTTCTCTATTTCTATATCATGCCATGCTGGCTGGGGTTACTCACGGTCTTCAGTTGTGAGGAAGGACCCTTCTTCGCATCCTTTGCGTTCCTGTCGCGCTTTTGCGCTGCCTTTGCTCCGTTGCCCATCGTGGTTTGTGTGGGAGAATTATGGTTTCGATGGTAAACGTCGTCGGTGTTGTCGGCGGGAGTGTTTCAAGTAGTTATCGGAGTTGGAGGGCCGGGAGCGCGATTTTTTTTTACTTTCTGTCGGAGGGTCGTATCGTGGAGGGCACGTGCAACGTTTGGCCAATGAGAAGGCGTGAGGGGCAAGCTGCAAATACATTGTGTTGAACAGCGCCATTTCGATCTGATCACTGAGGCCGGCATAAGGGTCAAATGTCGATATTTACCAAGGAATGTTATGGATCTGTACAGATGCAAAGAGATCGGATTGAAAATAAATAGGCACATTTTGAAAGCATCGGCAGACCATCAAGGTACACTGCATGTCATTTGACGGCCATTCCGGTGCTGGAGAATTTGCTCTGGGCTTCGAGAGTAATTGAAAACAAGACCAGAGTCTCTGAACGGATAAGAGTCGATCGAACGAATCCAATCTTCAGACTTTTGGTACGTTGGTCCCAATCATTAAACTTCCCAAGGACCACATCCCTCCGCAACCTGGAAATCACACGCCGTTTTCTCCCTGATCTCCTCGATACTCGAATCCGGATTATAGTCGCGCAAAGTAAGGCCCTTTGCATGATCGACATCAAAGCACGCCAGTTCTATGATAATGGTATGAACACACCTGGCTCCTGTCAAGGGAAGATCGCATTGAGCTTTGATCTTCGACGTGCCGTCTTTGGCACAGTGGGTTTGCACGACGACGATTCGCGTTTTCTCGGGGTTGGCGACGAGGTCCATGGCGCCGCCCATACCCTAGAAATCTCATGATCAGCAATTATGTCCCTGGTGAGGCATTGACAGTTTGAGGCTAGACTGACCTTCACCATCTTCCCTGGGATCATGTAATTCGCGATATCGCCATACTGGCTACATTCCAGTGCGCCCAAGACCGTCATGTTGAGATGTCCGCCGCGGATCTGGCCGAAGGAAACATCACTTCCGAAAGTACTGGCGCCGGGGATAGCGGTGATGGTCTCCTTGCCGGCATTGATCCAATCGTTATCTTCTTCTCCCTTCTTGGGATAGCCTCCGACGCCGATGATGCCGTTTTCACTTTGCACGTACACGTGTCGACCATCTTTGGCGGCGAAGTCTGCAGCTAGGACAGGCATACCAACGCCGAGATTGCAGCTTGAACCAGGTTCGAATTCTCTGGCTGCGCGTTGCGCGATGATATCTCGAACGGTTTTCTTTTCGGGCTTTTTCATGTCGTCGCTGGTGTCGTTTTTGAGGATCTCGATCTTGCCCCATCTCTCACCTTTGAAGAGACGATTGACGTTCAAACCCGGCAGATGTATGGATTCGGGCGATAGCGCTCCCGCTTCGACAATCTCTTCTGCCTCGACGATGGTGATCTTCGCTGCATTCGCCATGATGCGATTGTAGTTGTAAGAACTGCCCTTGAAGATACAATTGCCCATGGTGTCGGCTTTGTATGCCTTGATCCAGGCGAAATCGGCTTCATCAAAGGCCTCCTCGAGGAGGTAATCTTTGCCTTTGAAGGACTTGACTTCGCGGGGTTCATTGAATTCGATCGCTTCGCCTACGCCGTTGTATTTGCAGGGCAGCTTGCCTTCGGCGTATAACGTATGCAAACCTGTCCTGGTGTAGAACGCCGGAATACCAGCTCCCGCACAACGGATCTTCTCAGCAAATGTCCCTTGTGGGATGAGGTTGAGCTTTGTTTCTCCTTGCAGGAAAGCTTTCTCCATCAGATGGCAATGACCAATGTACGACAAGTATTGTTCCTTGATCTTATTCTTTTCGTAGAGTCCTGGCTTGTGTGAGCCCGGATTTTCATGTCAATTAACTCGGATGAAATACGACTTACTTCCGAGACCCCATGAATCGTCTCCTGCTTCCGTTGAAATGAAGATGAGGTCTTTGATATGATCTTGTTGTCTAGTCCATTCGATCATCGTTTCAGGAATCCCAGAAAGACCAAAACTGCCAGCCATGATTGTAGCGCCAGACTTGAGGTCTCGAAGGGCATTTTCGACACTCCGGCATATCTCGAAGTCTTTACGAGCCGTCATGGTCGTCTATGTTGCGTATGCTATGAGAAAGCTCAAGGTCCACAAGGTGTTAAACCAAGACAAGGATTCGTTGCTATAGTTTCACCGCGTGATGATCTTAGGCTCTTGCTTTGGACGATACTTGGCCACAACATCGCGTCGACACGATTTATATATGAGTACAGACGTACTGAAAGATCGAGTCTCGCCGCAGACATGATACTGCAAACGTCATCCGCTTTGCAGGATGATATTGATGAGGCAATATTCACATCCGAACGAGCCGCACGGGTTTTCTTTCAAAGACACTATCAAGAGTACATCAGAGATAATTTTAAGCACCGATGTTGAATCCACTTATCTCTTTGCTGTATAAAGTCGAAAACATTTTGCGGAGGATTTTTCTAGATGCCGATCTGTGGAGTCCGCTCCGTATGACGTTCCGTTACAGCCGTAACAACGCAACAATCTTACCCACTACTGAATTAGAGGTGAGCACTTAGAAGAATATAGCCACCTATTCTGTTGATATTACCGATACAGAAATATTCTCCAGCGGATTTCAAGACCCATGAGGCATTGGCTACTACTGGGTTATCGAAGTGGCAAGCTTTGAATAAAATAAATTCACGCACATGTCGACATTCTCCTACCTCCAGGTTCTATCGGCGAGATTTTGATTGAAGGCCCACACGTCGCACGGGGATACCTGCCGACGACCAATCTCCTAGTCTCTGACGGCTTTATGCCCTCTGCTCCTCGATGGTGGAGTTCCCGCGCACCCGCACATCCGATTCCGATTCCCTCGCGCTTCTACCTATCCGGAGACATCGGGCGCTGGACTTCGGACGGCTCGATCACACATCTGGGCCGGAGAGACGGCCTGTTGAAGCTTGATGGCAATCGGATCAATGCGGCCGAAGTAGAACAGTATGCCGGAAAATGTTTGCAACCCGGGGATATCGTGATCGTGGATGTGCTAAATGGAGAATTAGTCGCTGTGATGTACTTGGACGGGCATCTCGATAATACCACTGCGCGGGATGGAGCAGAGTCACAGCCCTGTGTCTGGGATGCTACCACCGATGACACTGGATCTGCTCGTGCGGCGGCCATTGCGGCCACGGTCGGTGCGAGTCTGCCGAGGTACATGGTGCCGTCAAGGTTCTTACTCATCTCTCATGTTCCGTTCACAGCCTCGCGCAAGGTCAAGCGAAAGGCTATTCGAGGCTTTTGTCAGAATTTCCTCGCTCCTCAGTGAGAATTCATGTTGACGTCTTGTCCACCTCGCACGACGAAGTGGCTTCCCGGTACTGAAATGTAGAACTTTGCCGCGCTCAAGTGTGGCAAGTCGAACTTGTCTGGAGTCATACGCAGTTTGAAGGCCAAAACACGTGTGATCCGCAGAGTGTAGCAGTCGATGCATGGTCTCGATTTCACGTATTCTCGCTGATATGTGTCCTTCAGGTAATTGCATATAACTTGAGTGATTGAAAATATTCATTCTACGTTAATTCGTCTATGATGAAGAATCAGCGTTGGTGGATTGTGATCGCGGTGGATATCTAGAGCGGGGAGAGGCAACCGTCCATTTCGATCCTGCAAAGCGAGTAATTCCCATCAACCGACTGAGCCACTGTACAATAAACGACCAGAAAGGCAGATCAGACGAATCGTGTGCTCCTAAAGACGAGTGGAGATGTTCAAGACCGTTACGGCTTCGCAGAGGATCTGTAAATTTACTGATCTGCCGAGACGTGCTCCATCTATTTTCCAGCCCGTTTTCACCAATTCCGCACTGCCAACCAAAAATATGTCGATTAGTTCGTTACAGGAAGGAGCCGAACGTCATGCCCATGAAATTGGAGCCGCGACCAAGACCGCGGTGAACGACTGGTCTCATCCTGGGCCCGCAGCGTTCGACTTTCGCAGTGAGTGAAAACTCATTCCGTTGGAATCCCGCGATCTTGCTCTCATGCTAACATCTTCAAGGCGACACAATCACAACACCCACGGCACGTATGCTCGAAGCCATCTCCTTGACCAGCCTGCTAGATGACGTCTATCAAGAAGACCCGACAACCAACGACCTCGAATCCTTCATCGCCGACCTGACAAGAAAAGAAGCCGCCCTCCTCGTCCTCAGCGGCACGATGGGCAACCAAGTAGCCATCCGCACCCATCTCCAAGGACCCCCGCACGGCATCGTAACCGACCAGAACACGCACATTATGCAATGGGAAGCAGGCGGTGTAGCCGTCCTCTGCGGCGCCCTAATGCAGACCGTCCTGCCCACCAACGGCCGCTACGTCACGCTCGAAGACATCCAGAAGGTCGCGGTCATCGGCGACGACATCCACTACTGCCCGACTAAACTCATCAGTCTCGAAAACACCATCAATGGTGCCGTCGTGCCCCTCGCTGAATGCCAGCGGATCTACTCATGGGCGCGCGAACACGGCATCCCCGTGCATCTCGACGGCGCGAGGCTCTGGGAGGCCGTGGCCGCGGGCGCAGGGAGTCTCAAGGATTACTGCGCATGCACAGATAGCGTGTCGCTGTGTTTCAGCAAAGGTCTCGGAGCACCGATCGGGAGTATCCTTGTGGGCTCGAAGGAGTTCGTCAAGCGGGCGCGGTGGATAAGGAAATCGCTGGGAGGCGGATTACGACAGGCGGGAGTGGTTACGTCGGCGGCGAAAGTTGCGGTGGAGGACCAGTTTCTGAGCGGGAAGTTAGTCGCCGTGCATGAGCGGGCACGACAAGCGGAGGCGTTGTGGAAGAAGTATGGAGGGCAGACGGCGAAGCCCGTCGAGACGAATATGATCTGGCTGGATCTGGCGCATGCGGAAATTTCGGCTGAGAAGTTCATTGAGGAGGGCCAAAAGGCGGGATTGAGGTTGAGTGGTGGGAGATTGGTTATGCATCATCAGATCGGCGACGAGGCGATGCTGCGCCTGGAGACGTTGATCAAAGCGGTGCTGAAGAATGAAACGATGCAGGGTACAGTCGACCACCCGCCGGAGAAGCTAGCAATTACCACAGAGTGACCGATGGACCTGGGCTCGCACAACATGAATGAGCTAGAAGTCGGCTGCGATTTCCTCGAGGATCACCACTACAAATTACCACAACGGCGAAATCTATTCACCAACTAAGCCTCCGCTTTCGACTTCGCCTGTCTTCCAACCCACTTCTTAACACCGACCCAAGCCTCGCTCTTCGTATCCACACCTCCAAGTTCACTGCCGACCTCAAACACCGTGACGATTCCATCCAGCCCGCCCACCGCGACCTGCCTACCCTGATTCTTCTCCCACGCAAGACGATTCAAACTCTTGAGGGAATAAATATCGCGATCGAGATGACTCGGGCGGGCGCTACCGACGGGGACCTCTTCACTAGCATTGATGTCATAAATATCCAACCTGCCCGCCCCGTCGACACACCCGAAAATCCCCGGCTTGACTGGCGACCACTTGACATCGTAGACGGCATCTTCGCGGAAAATCTCCAGCAGCGGTCGCACGACGTCCATGTTGCCGGAGATGTTGCTTGCGGTGGAGGACGGCGGTCGCGCGCGCCAGACTTTGACGGACCAGTCCAGGCCGCTGCTGACGAAGAGGTCTCCGAGGTCGATTTTGCCTCGCGCCGGGTGGAAGTCGATTCCTGTGACGGGGGCCTCGTGGCCGCGGTATGTGCATCGGGCGTCGACGCCGGCTTTGGCGCCGGCGCGGTCGTAGCGATGCACGGGGAAGATGGAGCCTTGTTCTGTGCCGGCGAGGAAGTAGGTCGGATCTGCGTGGGGAAAGGTGATGCAGGAAGGCGCCACATCGTCGGTTTTGTAGGCGGATGGGTTGGGGGCGTGGAGTTCGAGATATTCTTGCGGTTGCGTGAGCATGTCTGTGGACCAGGCACAGACGACGCCGTCGGTGCTGACGGAGACGACGGACGAGGCGTTCTGAGTACCAACGACGGCGAGGTTGTAGATGGGATGAGCATGGCCTGTACGACCACCTGTCAATGGTGTCTTTTGTACAGGCTCGCCGGTGCGTTGGTTGCGGGCGCGTGTGTCCCACAGGCAGAGCTGGCCACTGTATGTGCCCCCCAAGATTAATGACGGGTGATAAGGGTGGAAACGACAAGACAGTAAATCGGAAGTAGCATGGAGACTATACTCTGGCCGGCCCTTGAGATGCAGGTTCCATACGTTGAGCAGTCCGGGCGGAGTATGTGGTGATGGTTGAGATTTGGTGTATGACGTGCAGATGAGTTCCGGAAATTTGGAGCTAAAGTCGATGTCGCTGATCATACGTTTCTTGCCCATGACATCTGTGAGATCGAACTGGGCGACTTCCTTCACGCGCCTGCCCCTTCGGCCAACATACTCGTCGGTATCTTCCGTGTCTCTTGATTGTAGAGCATAATCGGCCAGCAAGTCATACTCCTCGTCCAGCGCTCGCTCGATGACTTTACTGCTTCGCTCCACAAAGTCTAAGAAGTCGTTGCTACTTGTGACGGCATTGAGCTCCTCCGGCGCCAGCGCACGAATGGGAAATCTCTCTTTCTCCGTCTCTTCAGAATCTTGAAGTTGTAAAGCCCGCAGCTCCTCCTCAATCTCCTGCCGGAGCCTCTGTCGGATCTCTTCTTCCTCCAGCTCGCGCTCACGTTGGCTCAATTTCCTCCTTCTCCGAGATGGACTCGAGCTCAATCCGTCCGCCTCATTCACAAATTCGTCATCCTCCTGCGAACGATCTGGCTGCCATGATCCCGTAGTCTGCACTCCTTTGCTGTAAGTGATGATCTCAGGCTTCGTCTCTGCAGAGATCTCGTAAACAGTCTGTAGCTCTGCTAACGATAGAGGTTGCGCGTCTGTGGCAACATCCCGGTAGCTCCTTGGAGGTGGAGTCGCTACTTCATCTGACGACTGTGTGAGGCCGCTGGAGCGTTTCTTTCCGGTCGGTGTGCCTGGTGTGCCAGGACTCGGGCGGTCGACTAGTGAGCTGATCAAAGACTCTAGCTCCTCTCGTTTGACGCTGTTGCTATTCCGAAGTGGCGATCCGAGAGCGTAGTCACTGGGCTCTCCAATACTTTGTCGGCTATTGCTTAGTTCCCTCGCTCGCAGTTCTCTTTGTCGTTTGAGTTCGGCAAGCTTGGCCTTTTTGGCAAGAATCTCATCCTTCCGTGATTGAGTCGAAGACATGTGGTAAGCACTGGTGGATGTTTCCACCGCTCCGTACTATTCAAGGTACTCAGTACGTACGTTCACCGGTTGACGATCTTGCATGCTGCAGAATATATTTAATCGCATAGACGCGTTCGCGTCGTTCTCCTTAAGTACTAGCGTCCAGCCCGAATGACCCTGGCTGGCCGACGTTTCACAGTTCGTACATTGAAAGTATCACGATGCCATACATTGCTTGAAGGCATAGTTCGGTATCGAGCGAAGCCTTGGGCTCTGTTGGAGTTTTGTTTATGCTCGGCAATAGTCTTGAGCGTCAAAACATATCAGGATACTATTCATTGTGGACACTATTTAAACCCGATGCATCTCGGAGAGAACTCCCGACGGCTCAGTACGGAGGGCTACTACATATAGCACTCCGTGAAAGCTCAGCTTCCAACCAGCACCTCGGAGTCTGCCCGTCCATTCCCGAAAAGCAGCCGCAAATCCTGTGGACAACATTGTTGCCAATCGCGCTACATATTGCACTAACCACCTCCCAGCATCAACATTCTCACCACATCTCGAGACGACAAGGCTCATACCCCTCGTCGCCGATCGGACTCCCGTGTGCAACTTTATCCGTCATATCGCAAAAGACCCGTCAACCTCGAATTAATCACACAATGGCTTCTCAGGGAGTAAACGTGAGGGCTCCCATTTCGAGCAACGATTTTTTTCCCGGAGCGGCCTCCCAAACTAACATCCGGTCAATAAAGGTTCTTCGATGGGGCGCGTTGACCTTCGGTGTCTTCTACGGCTTCACTCACCAGAGCGCCATTTTCGCGCGGGAAAAGAGCGCGGCTGCACACCACGAGTACGAGCGCAAGTCGAAGCTCATTGACAACGCAAAGGCGGCCTACGCGGAGAAGACTTCACCGAAGAAGGGCGATGGAGGTGAGTTTTGTATTGGTGGGGAGGAGATGGAAGGAAATGGCGCAAGTTGGCATTGGCAAGATTAGACTTCACTGGGCGCAGAGGGTCGTGAGGCACATAACTGTCACTTATACTGACGATTCTTTCTTTTGCAGTCATCCGGGACGCGGACCACCCCAACTTCGACCTCGAGAAGTACCTCGACCAGGTGGCCAAGGAGAACGCGTAAACGGGTGTGCGACGGACGAGTTTGCAGCCGCTCGAAGAAATTTGAATTGAGGAAAGCGGGTTCAACGGAACGAATAGATGTGCGACTTTCCATGGTACTCTTAAAGAACAATCCTCTGCAACACTGGCCTTGACCGTGTCCTCACAAGGAGGATTTCTCCCAGCTAGTACCTCCTTCATTACAGAAGCCTGAATGGTCAGCGACTGTCCCGCGAAATACGTCCGGGATCGGCAAGCATTGTGTATTTATCCCTGTACTAACAGACCACTCTGCGTGTTCAAGAACGAAATGTCACCACGTTTTCTTGAGTTGTGAAAAGAAGTACACAAGGCTTTGAACTTCGCGAGACGATTCATCCAATCGCAATCTGAAAGATCCCGAGTCTATGCCAATAGCTTAAAGACTGGCAATTGCGTACCCATTGAATTACACGGCTTTCTGCTACGGTCTTTCCAGTGGAGTTGAAAGGCAAACACCAATTGATGGAATCAGAGACCACCACTTCAAGGCGTGGATCAGGATCATATGTCCAAACCCTCAATGACCTTATGGGAAGTGCTTCTCTGGCAATATGCCTTACGATTCCAGTTCCCTACGAAGACTTTAGCACGCATGCCTCTTCTATCGTTACAAGTTCGTGCCGAAACGACTTGCGCACCGGCGGTCACCACAGCACGGCACCATGTGTAGTAGTGTATAGAGGCACAGTCTACCAAGACTAATTGCTGAGCCCCATGCTGTCCGCATCCGGGCCTGAAGATACACGCCTATGTCACCTGACCAGAAGGTTAGGTGATTCCCGCTGTAGTGTTTGGAAGGCGCCCCTGTCCTTCCATGCCGATTTCAGCACACTCCGATCGCTCGCCGTGTTCACCTCTCGGGACCAACATTTTCCTCACAGCACCACCTTCGATGTATGATCGATGAGATAATCACTCGAGCAGCATCGCTACTTGGAAGGCTAGCAGCATAGCAGCATCCCCGGCTCTCAGAAAACACCGCTTTAGAGCGATTTTGGCTGCAGTAGGACGCGCTCTACCATCCGATTCGGGTCGTCGTGAGTGCATGTTCCTTCATTCTGTTCCCGATCTTGCAATATGCGATAAAGAGCCTTGGAGACGCCTTAAATGCCGGGGACCTGATCGTAAACCACAGACTACGCGAGTGGCAATGTCCTGTCGACGAGAAGATATGGCGCAGGCCACCTCGCGACGTACATTCTCGGAACAAATTCTGACGAAGCAGCATGTCTGCTACTTTTCCCGGAATTTTTGAACGTTCTCTTTCTCTACCCCACTAAGTGTCATTAAACAGAAGAAGCCTTGGAGGTCAGAAACGACCTATCTACTCTGAATCACGATACTACTTGGATGATGATCATGACAACGGCGAGAACCCCAGACATTCAATATCCGAAATGTTCAAGGAGAGCCTGTAGCTGGAGTTCACACTCCGCCCGGAATTTGAGCTTGACGGGCTCGGATTGTTCCCGAACGATGTCCTCGTTCGACAGTCGCCAAGGTAGGATCGACCCCAGAACCTCGTCTACAAGAGCTACACCGTCCATGCCAGGGGTCGTCCTTGGCCTTTTTACATTGAGCCTCTCGAGCTCCTCCTCCCACAGTTTTGCATTCGACCAGTTGGGTCCGTCCTCGTTGTTGGACGGTAGGGGCTCTGGAAAGCCATGGAGTTTGGCATGGCGCAGCTGTGCGTCCTCGCTGCTCTCATCGGCCGACCAGCCTGAGAATGACTCGCCGATACCGCTGAAGGACTTGGTGAATTCGTAGGACGGATGAAGGATGCACGAGTTATCGTAGTCGATGAGACCGGTAAGATTACCGGTGATATCATTAACCAGGACGTTGGTCGGCGCTATTGATCAGATTAGTATGCCGTCGCACGCAGCGGGAAAGGTTACCAGGCACAACGTACCGAAGTCTGCATGAACGACGCATTTTTCCGATTTGGAAGTCAACCTGGCGAACTGGGTCGGGACGCCGTCTGCGACGAATCGTTCTAATCGTTCGCGCACACCGTTTGCTCGCCAGCCTTGAATGTATTCATTCTTGTCAGCCTCTTGAAGCGCGAGTCGCAGCCAGGCTGCGAACGACTCTTCATACGTTGACCACGGCCCCTCTCCGACCGTGGTCATTGGGCCGCTGATGATGTTCTCCTGGTCATCGAAAGTGACACCGCCGTAGCCGGTGATACTATGGGGAAGTTCATAGGACTGCAGAGCATGCACAACTTCTGCCATCTGGGTGAAGATCTCTTGCGGGATCACTCCGTCTGGAGACTTTTCGAGATACTTTTCCAAGGTCATCCCTGGCATCCATTGCTGAAGAATCCATCCAAAGGGCGATCCGGTTGCCACAGTGCCCCAAGCATAAACTTCTGGGACAATATGTTCGTGACGCGTGCCCTTGACAGCAGCGGCTGTCAGCAATAGCATCGCGACTTCATTCTCCGTGCGGCTCCGGGCATACATGCTCTCGGCTAGATCATTGGCGATGCGCAGAACGAAGCGCTGCGTTCCAATCGGGATCGGATTGCAGGATTTTCGGGCCTCCCTTCCTGCGAGCTGACTCCCATTCAGCGGGCTCGGCAAATCAATACGGTAGATGAAATTATTGTACTTGAAGATACTGTTGGCGTCATAGTCCAGCGGTGTGATTACGCTTTCGCCCTGGACATCATCAGTCGAGAAACAGCGATGAGGTTCACTTTGTCTTTTACGATGTCTTTGAAGTTTTCGTTGAGCAGTTGACGAGCGAACGTCAGACGCTGTTCGAAGCGGTCGTGATTATGGGTCATGATGAATGCGGGATGGATGCTGCAACGAAGAGTTGGGACGGAGACAAATCAGTACTTTGTGCATGGTGATATCTCCATATCCACCTCTGGCCTTATACATAGTAGGACTCATGATATCTATCTTGTACAGCTTAGGCTGACCGCATTTGCTGTGCCCCCGTTTTTGCTGCGCCATATTAGTCTGTCTGCAGGTAAGACTTTAGTGTCTGTCCTTGGGCATTGCTGACGAGTGGATCCCGCCGAGAAGACGGCGTTTTGCTACGATTTGTGTTGTCACAGCTGGTTGCTGCTCAGTGGAAGCGCATGGGTGTCCGACGGGTAAATTTTGATCATTTGTGATGGATTATGTCTTTTGAGAAGCGATTGTGTGATACAGCATGATCGGATCAGTATGATTGCCTTGTATAGCATATAATCATATGCAAGGCTCGCTTTAGCAGCCACTCTTATTCACTTAGTCTGTGCTCTTGCCGACGTTCAGTGCCTGAGATAATCCTCTGAATTCCTCCAGAACACTGGCATAGATGTCATGTTGAGACTTTTGCGAGCGGTGGATTAATATGCTGATAATGTCCCGCTATGGCCACGCTCGTCTAGAATTTCGAGCCGTCGGTGTTGATTTCCAAGGGATGATACCTGTCAGCACCAGCTGTCGCGCCTGCACAGTCCACTGTCCGCTCATCGCATGCTCGCGAATTGGCACTTTCCAAGTTCTCATTGATGAGCTCATGACTCACCAAGATGAAGTTTCCAAAGCTTAATTGGATTCGGATTCCGCAAAACAGTCTGACTAGGTCAAGATCAAACCCTGGGCGAAGTATGAGGTCCAGCTGCAGGGGCTGTCCTTGGATGTCTCGGATTTTGAAATTCTCCAGGGTCGGAAAATGTATCGAAACCGTCGATCTCCTGACCAGCTCTTGGCGCATCCATCCCCAACAATCGATTATTCGACATCAGCTTTGAGCCCCACTTGTCAAGGCGAGAGGTGCGATAGCGAGGGTGAAGAGGCAAGGGCCGGAGAAATTCAAAGTGCTCGATGTCTTACCTTGTCGGTCTAACTGTTGGTATAATTCATCAGCACCTGATTCCGTTCCTGCGCCTCTACGTCTGTGGAAGATGGAGAGTCGTCTCTTGGAAGGTAAGGGAGAAAATCTCGCAATTGCGATCAGGCACATTATAATCACTTAGTGAGATAAGGTCCCTGGCACGGACTACCCATTACTTTGCGGGCCATTGCAGAACGGTGAGCGCATATATACCATTGCCTAGAGCGATCACCTCTTGTGGACACGACGGCCGTGTGGGGGACGCGCGAAGTGAGGCTGTTCGGTGTAATTCTTCAGGTGCGCACGCAACGAGTTGGACTCCCACCCTGCTCTCTCGTACCTCTCGGGACGGTATGACAGTGATTCTACATGTCGGCACAGACTCATGGTCTCGACCTTGGATCTCTCATGTTGGACCTGAGCGGAAATTCAAAATCAATTTAAGCGTGGATAATCGATTTGGTTCGCTATCTGTGATTTCGTTCATCCCTCAACTTCGACCAGTGGCCATGTCAATACCTATATGGAAGAGGCTTTTCAAGTGCATTCCTCAGCACGAACACAAGCACCGCCATTCCAGGTGGGCTGGAAATTATCTAGAGTCGGAAGGTTCGAAGTGTAGTTGTAGGTGGTCTGCTCCGGCCAATATCCGAATTGAACGGTGCGATTACCTTCACGATATGTGTCCTTCAATGGGCCTGTTGACAGATACCCAGGGACTGCCTTGGAAGTTCCGGTCGCAATGTCCAAGCCAGCGATTGCTCTCTTGAAGATGGTCTGCAGGGTCAATGGCTGAAAGGCGCCAGCTGCATGACCAGCTTCGTAGATCCGTACATAGCTGAAAGGTCCGCTCTGCTTGACCGAGCCGTGAATCACGCAATCATCCGTAAGGATATCAGCGAACCCGGCCTTATCGTAGCCCGGGAACCCAACTGCTGCGGCAGAGGCTTCAACTCCGAGGTGATTACAGATGTAATCGGCATCGCCATTATAGAGGACCACGTTAATACCTTCTCCTGCTAATTCGCCAAGTATTTTGATAATCCCAAGCTCTCGTCCGTCGTCTCCTGTCAGATCGAAGGCTTCAGTGACCGTTTGACTGTCGCCAATCCATGTTTGAAGTGCGCCGATAGCTTCACGAACATGAGTGTGGTTTAGGTAGGCTTCAAAGAACGAGTTTGGCAAGGGCGATTCTTTGTATTCGTCGTCTTCGTCGTCTTCGTTGTCTTCGTCATCTTCGTGGTTCAGCATGCGAACATTGTTGTCATCTCTTCCGGTAGACTTTGCCCATGGCTGGTCAATCTCTACACCGCAGTAGTTGTCGGCCGCTTTGCAAATTTCGTCGGTGCCGATTGCCTCACACTCCCGAAGTTGCTCAAGACAACCTCCCGGGCCAACAAGTTTCTCGTACACCTCTTTCTTGAGTGTAGCATTGATTGGTGGCAAGTCATAAGGACTTCCAGACTCGTACCCGTAGTCATAGTATGCTTGGCTCTGGAGCTGCGGGGAGTACCAACCATTCCCGATCAGGATTGACTTCAGGTCGATATGTCGCGCTCCTGCGATACTCGCCTTGTTCTGATCTTGAATATACTTGCTAAAGATCGGCACGTAATGACCCCCATAGCTCTCGCTACCGAAGTGAAATCCATTGTCCGTGTACTCGGGGAATGAGTTCATAAATGCTTGTAGTGTAAGCCAAAACTTGGGCGCAGCAGCGAGGGTGCTATTTGCTGTAGCAGTGACGTCGGGCTTGGAAAAACAGCCGCATGTTGAATTATTGGCTTGACAGGAGTGGTCCTCGACAATTGCACCCTCGTTGTTCTTGTCCATGTATCCTGGGACTAGGTCGCTGTACGAAAATCCAACTTGATTCGGCTGATCGATGTAGATCACATTACTATAGTTGCTCCAAGAGAAGGGGTTGTTGTAGATGGTCGTATTGTCAGCATCTACGCGACAAGGGCCGTGCTCTGTAAAAAGCTCCGACATGGACGATACACCTGGCCCACCACTGATCCAGGCCGTCAACGGGGCGGTCTTTGGGTCCACATTGCGCGCCTCGAAGAACCAGAAGAAGATGTGTTCATGGTCCGAAATGTCGGCGTGGCCTGAATAGCTCTTCACGCCGGCTTGGAGCTCACAGATACCAGTAGGTACTTCGCGATAACGAAGTTTTACGTCGCCGTAGCCCGCCCCATGCTCAAACCCATGGAGAAACTCTGCGCTCGGGGTTCAAACGAGCTGAGCTGAGTAGACCGCCGTAGGAAGTAGAGGCAACAACGGAAGAATTGCCGACCACATGTTGTGTATGGTTTTGACGGTGGGAAAGTGAAATTGAATGGAGTGCCTGTAGTCCAGTAGGAGGCGGAGATGGAATCATCTCTTTATAGTCATGCCAACCCTGCTCGACCTTCTCTTCAGATCTTGTGAGGTTCTTGAGGGATGGCTCATACACAACATGATGCCAAGAGCGCCATGGAGATCATGGCATCTCCAACTTGGACTATCGACGACGCCAACGAAAGGACAGTGCAGTCGAACTAAAGAAGAGGATTGTTGCTGACACAGCGACGACAATGTGAAATGCTAGCCGCACGCAAAGACTAGAATATCGGCAGACTGGTGAGCTCCTGACATCATCCAACGCCCGCACAGCCCCGCTGCGTCTGTGTCGAAAACTGCGAGCATGATGACCATGATCTGCAAGTGCAACAGCTAGTGCTGACAATTGTTAGTTGTTACAAGACCAACACTGCCGGCTCGAAATTCGGACAGGCGACTATTCGGGCACATTCGTCACCATTGCCCGGCGAGCACCAAGATGTAGAGGTTTGAAAGAGGTCAATCGATGTCAATGCGCGTCGCGGCTAGTGCTGATCAGCGTCAGCGGTGCCTGACCTCAGCCCCAAACCTTAAAGGTCAACAGCTCGGCGCCCAGAACGCTGAGCACGTCGCAGCATCGTCTTCGAACCGTGCCGCCCACAACATGGTGTTGGTAAGCATCGATGACACATGTGGGCGCCATGGAAATTGCAATGACACGATAAGTTGTGCAACGTAGTCACGCCCTCGCTAAATCGTGGGAAGTCGAGATTTTGCTGACCGGATCTTGCTAACACTCCAGGTCATACGTCACAATGCTTTCTAGTGTCGGGTAAGCTTTTTGAACATTTGCAGATAGTACAACAAAGTCACTAACACATTTTGGTGATAGTAGTATCGAAGGAGGTGATATCAATTTACCACAAAGTAAAGTATTGGCCATTAACTACAGTAGTACATAAAAACAACAAAACAAAATAAGCACAACGCGTTAGCAACGTCCACATGAGAAGTGATCCTGCACTCCCCAATGCTTATCTGCATTACTCCCGTGTCGCATCCTTGAAGACGTGCCTGCCTTCATCACCATAGCCGGGCCAGGTGTCGATGTTATCCCGACCGATCAACGGAGGATTCCGGAACACGTGTCTGCCTTCATCACCGTACCCGGGCCAGCTGTCAATGCTGTCAACTTGGCGTGTATTGTTCACCTGGCGTTTGCCGATACCCCAGCAGTTGCCGAGACCACTGCTGCCTGCCGACATTAGAGCTCTGCCGATGCAAGCTCGGGTGCCGATGGGCAAGTTGCCTGCAGCGTACCATTGGTAGCAGCAATCATCTGGGGTGCGTTCGAAGTTCCAGAAGGTCAACGCTCCACAGCCCTCGATCTGTTTCTTCAAGCCCTCCCCTTCCGCACCAAACAAGGCATCAGGCAAGTTCTTGCCGCGGATCTCGAAGCTGTTGAAGAAGAATTTGTACTCAGCGTCGCAGCTAACTTGATTAACTTGCTGGCTGAGGGGAGTCATCTTGTACTCCCAACCATCGGCAGTGGTCAATGTTGAGCCGAATTTGTAGTTGTGAGGGTTGTTGAGCGAATCGGCGCCGTCACATCCATCGATGACAGCATTCGTAAAGCGGCCGACACAGTCCGGAGCATCCCGCGGTGTCTTGCTATCACCATAAAGCTTGCGGACGGAGAGTTTCAGCTCATTTACCGAGTTGGCGTTATATGTCTTTTCGAGTTCGGTCTGACCGCAAAAGTCGATGACGTTCTGGGCGGCAACGTCACGAGATCGGACCCAATAGTCCCCACCGATGCCATGGCACGCATTTTGGTCCTGGGTGGGCACGTCGGATGGTGCAGGAGCAGGAGTGGGGGTGTCGTTCGACGTCGGCGCGTCAGCTGCAAAGTAGCGATCAACTTCTTGACCCAACAGGCTGTCAACGCTGGAAATCGAGAAACCGTCGCCTTGGGTGATAGAGACGCTCGGGAAGACTATTAGCGGCGATGAAGGTGGTGCGACTCCTGAATCCTCAGGCGAAGCTCCCGGAAGGCGTCCCACGATCTCCCACCAGAAGACGGAGTTGATAAGCATGGTGTAGCTATCGGAATTGAGAGTTGACAATACGGCTCCACTCTCACCCTTCCCGGAGTATTTTTCTCCCTTGGCCAAGCGACGTACTTGTTTAGGTCCATATGCGTACGTCCTGGGCCCAACCACTCTCAGAGTTTCATCTGTGATCGGTGGTTCTGGATAATAGGTGCTGTAGAGGTGCATCATCTCGTGGACTATGAACTGACCACTAGTCTGGTAGTTTTCCATTTGGTAAAGATTACTGAGCTGGCCAGTCTCTTTCCAATGGTTGATCTTGTCCAAGGTCCCTGCGAAATCGTTTAGTGTAAAGTATGGGTCGCACATGGAGATGTAGCCGTATGTTCCCGTCCAGCCCTTATAATTCCAAGCATAGCCGCCGATTTGCTTGCCGTTGATAGGGTCTTTTTTGCAGTAGCTCTTGGGGTCCCGGCATGTGACTGTGATATAGTTTAATGTTTTGCCATTGTTGACAAAGTTGCTTCCACGTTCAATGTTGCCTTTGATACGTTCCTCGTAATCTCCCCAGTCTGCTCCCATCCAGTAATCAGCCGAGAGTGCATATGGCGCTGAGCGCTCTTCAGCCCGTTTTGATGCTTCCTTTAGAAGCAAACCGGCATTCCAGAATCCGTTCTCAAGCATTTTCCTTTGTCCGTCGGTGCAACCTAAATATGCACGTCAGTATTTGTTTCGGACGGAACACGGATCGTGGATAGTATACCGTGGTCGTTGTCAAGATAAAGAAAAGCACCATGTGGATTATTGTTCATGGCGGTGAAGCAGTCGTCGGTGAGGCGCTCCGGGTCACATACATCCGGTGCGATAGGAATGCCATTTGGGAAAGGATTCGGCGTCTGTGGGGGGAGAACGAAGTTACCCGCAGGTAGATTTGGATTACCGGGATCGATTGGTAGAGTAGTGGACTGCTGAGGCAGGCCACTAATTACTACGAGGAGTGTTGACAGCGAAAGAAGAGTGAACCTTTGCATCGTGAGGTTTGATGACTAGTTCGTGGGGTGCTCTGATGACCGGCTTGTGAGGTTTGATGGCTAGCTTGTGAGGTACTTTGGCGATCGGCTTATGAGGTCTGATAGCTTTTTTGTCAGGTTTGATACCTGGCTTGTCCAGGAGGTGCTAGCAGATTTGATCATGTCCACAACTCGGGTCAGATCGTCTACTCTTATACATTCGCTTCATCATTAGAGCTATCCGCTTCATAGGTTCTACCATAATACATTTTCTACTCTACAGAATCGAGCGCCTACTAGACGAGGCCCGACCAGACAGAGGCTTAAGTTTCGAAGAAGTAAATATGAGCGTGAAACACTGGCGAAGACAATCGCGTCTTATGTCGGGCTTGGCGAAGCACATTGCCGCGCAGGGAGGCCGAATCCTTGACTTTTGGCAGTGATCCTTGTAGGGACGCAGGGTCATTTGGATGTTTTCGGTCATGAGCGTGTCGCTTTCATCAACGCTCGGTCTCTATTTTGAACATGGCTGCTTTAAAGGCCTTGGCGAGTTTCGGAGAGCCTGACGGGAAGCTTCAAGGTTTCATAGCATGCAGCTCTCGGCCCTTTCGGCTGTTAAAAATCCAGCCCCTGCTTCGTGTTGGTATCAAAGTGTCGTTGCCCGACCGCCCGAAGGAATTTCAGCGCTCGGGACGGGCGCTGCCAAAGCGCCGTGCGCTTTTTTCCCGAAACGCCGTGCTTCGGGCGCAATCTTGACGTCTACTGACATATGTATAATACACATAACGTAATCTATCACCGAGCGGGCCAAATCACCGAACGGGCCATTTTGTCTTGGCATTACAACTGAGGTGACTACAACCGTTGTTTATTCAACCACACACTTAGTTATACATCTGCTATGCTAGGATATGGTTCAGAAGGAGCATCTCTATCTGTCTGGCAAGTTCGTGAGTTGTGTCCAGCTATTCCGCAGTTTCTACATCGTCGTTGAGTTGGAGGTCCTCGTTCAGACTCAGCTTCATTACAAGTCCTTTTTGATCGTTGAGCACCTATCCCCGCCTGTGCGATTGCCTG